CCATATAAAAAATTGGTGTGTGTGTTATGGGAACGTTTTAAAGATTTACTCTTAGCAACTTACAAATATGAAATGCAGTATTAACTCCAGTCACGTGCTGTAGTGCACACCCATCCCCGGGGCGCGTAGCTGCAGCTTTGGTTCCTGGCTACCCTCACCCACCCACCCTCCCGCCCCGGCCGCACCAGCCTGTCCTCTGGGCTTGGCCTTGTCGCTGTCGTCAGTGTCCCTGAGGTTCCACCTACAAGTGGACTCGGGCAGTATTTGTTTCCCTCTGTCTGATTTATTTCATTTGCCATAATGCCCTCAGCTCCCACCCGTGGAATGGAATGGCAGGATTTCCTTCCTTTTTATGACTGAATAATATTTCATTGTGTTGATACAACACATCTTCTTTATCTGCTCACCCATCAGTGACCACTTAGGTTGTTTCCATACCTTGGTTCCTGTCAATAATGCTGCAGTGAGATAGGAGCGCATATATCTTTTCTAGTCATTTTTTTTAAACATAATTTACTACAGGTCTCTGAAGTGTATATAAAACATTTTAGTGCAACATCTTACAAACTGTTTTCCTTTCAAAAAACAAAAACAAATCAACAGCCCTCTCCATCGTGCAGAAGTGGCTTGCCTACTCTGCCTATTTTTTTTTTCCTCACCCATTAACACAGAGAAACCTTTGTTTGAAAAGAATATGAAAACTTGCTACAGAAACCCCCTGGGGAAGCAGGGCGTGTCCTACAAGGGGCCTCTAACCAGTGTTTTTGTTTTTTTTCAGAAAAATACCCAGAAGTGGAATTGCTGGGTCATAGTTCTATTTTTAATTTCTTAGGAAACCTCCATACTGTTCTCCATAGTGTTTGTACTAATTTACTTTCTCACCAATGGTGCACAAGGGTTCCCTTTTCTACACATCCTCACCAACTCTTATTTCTTGTCTTTGATAATAGCCATTCTGACAGGTATGAGATAGTATCTTATTGTGGCTTTGATTTGCATTTCCCCAGTGATTAGTGATGTTGAGCACCTTTTCACATACCTGTTGGCCATCTGTGTATCTTCTTTGGAAAAATGCCTATTTAGATCTTATGCCCATTTAAAAAAAAAAGGATTATTTATGGGTTTTTGTGTTGAGTTATCTGAGTAGTCTGATATTTTGGACATCAACCCCTTATCAGATAAGTGATTTTTAAATATTTTCTCCCACTCAACAGGCTGATTGTTTCTTTTGCTGTACAGAAGTTTTTCAGTTTTATGCATTCCCACTTGTTTATTTTTGCTTTTCTTGCCTTTTCTTTTGGCATCAGGTTGGTTTTTGGTTCTTTGGGGTAGTCGTACCTTTGCATTGCAGTAGCCTTCCTAGTGCAGTGCTTCACAAATGTTATCTGAATCCCAGCCCAGGAGTGGAAGATTGACAGGCAGGGGAATTGCTGCTGGAGAGAACACCTCCTGGCCTCACCGGAAGCGACAGTCGGTCCTTTGACAGCGAGGGGAGAGGCAGGAGAGTCTGTAAAAGCAGGCAAAGCTTTGCTCACCAGTTGGCAAAGATTTTTTTAAGTTGTAAAATCTAAAAAAGAATATAGGAAAATATGTGTATTGCTGGTAAGAGTAGAAAACTCACGCGATTTCCTTTAGAATGCAGCTTGGAAGAACGGATTGTCACTGGAGAATTCCTCGGTGGCCCGGCGGTCAGGACTGCACTCCCACTGCTGTGGCGTGAGCTCAGTCCCTGATGGGGACGGAGATCCCTCAGGCCACACCAGCTGGCCAAAAATAAACTTTGTGTGTGTGTTCCCACAGTGAACAACAAAACAGAACTACCTTTATTTCTGACAACACAGAATCAGTTTAACTATAGGGCAATCGTTCTGTAGAACTGTACATGTTGTAACGGTTACAAATTATATTTTCAAAGAATATTTAATGAAGTGTAAAAATGCTTATTATGTGTTAAGTGGAAAAAAAGCAGGTTATAATCCTACTTTAAGAACTCTTTATTCCTGTAGTGATGTTAGCTTTTCGTCCTCGTGTTAGTGACCTCAGGCCTTAAATCCACTGCAGCTCCAGAGAGCACATCTTCCCACTAAGAGCCCAGCAGAAAGGGAGGGAGCAACAAGGTTTCTTCTGCCGGTGCTCCGTCCCTGGTGACTTCCTCTTATATCTCACTGACCACAGCCTGGTCACAGAGCCACTCTTTAGGCTGCAGTGGAGTCTGGGAAAGGGAGTATCCAGCAAAGGCGTCTGGTTAGTCCCTTGGGGCTGGCACGCTGCCACCTGGGGCCCTGTGTGTAGGGAAGAGGAGCAGATGGCCGTTGGGCAGACAGATGTGTGGCCCACCCCGTTAACTGCAGCATGTTTGGGCCGGTAAAGCCACCGTCCAGAAGGGCAGTGTCTGTGAACATCGGCGGCAGCGTACCCACATGCTGTCATCTCTGCCTTTTCTCCGCAAGAGGTATCGTGTCACGTGTGCCCGTCCCTGGCCAGCTGCTTAAGAAATACGAAACTGGCATCTGTGTAATTGCTGTGTTAACCACCCGTAGTGCATTTTATATAAGCGCAACAGTGTACGAAACTGTGTCTCATCTTGTGTTTATTATGCAGATTAAAATATATATATATATATAGATAGATCAATAACCCTTCTCTTACGTATCCTGAACTTGAAAACTTTGGGAAAGAGTAGGGACCCTTCTGGGATGGGAGAATTTGTGCCATGTCCTTTAGTTTTCTGGAAAGGTAATTACTTGGAAGAGATGGAACTAGGTAAAGAGTGCTTCTTAAAATCACACGTTTCAAGATCCCGGAAGCCAGCTATAACAGCAGGCCTTGGGTTACATGCCCAGTATCAAATAATAAGAGAGACCTTAGAAATACAAGTTCCTCTGCCCTGTGTTTTGGGGTTTTCACGCGTTAAGTTTGTGGGTTGAGGGAAGGGCAACAGAGACTTTTTGCTCATGGCCAAGGCTCTTAGCGTTGATGGCAAGGAAGTAGAGATGGCAAAAGAACAATCAGTGAATACCAGGGATTTATTGGAAAAAAAAAAATTTGGAGCTGAGTGAGTTGATGGCATAGTTTAAATTTAGCTTTTGCTGGTAAGGTGGGTTTGGGCAACTCCCAACTGAGTCCTTTCCCTGAGCCTTTCCTCTCCTCCCAGTGGACAGCATCCTAAGGTTTCAGAGAAGGATGATAAAGCCCCCGAGGCAGTTAGGAATCTCCAAGTTCCTATTCCAGTGACCCAATTTTCAGTAATTCCTTCTTCCTCCACCTCACTTTCCCTTCACATGGTAGTTAGAGGGAATAGGGCACAGCTTCTGTAGCTTGCATTCCAGGAAGGGCCCCAAGGGTGAGCAGCTTTGAATGCGTATAAAATATTTCCCATGCAGCTGCCCACCAGGTGGGCCTTAAGCCCTTTTGGATGTGGCAGAACATCTCTGACTCTGTGCCGTGGCAGAGCTCCCAGGTTCACCAGCTTTAGGAATCCTTTCACTGGAAAGCTCAGAAGATGAGAATGTGTAACACGTCATCACCGTGGCTGGGAATGAATCTCACCAGAAACGCTCAGTGAATTCACACAGGTCACATGACCACCCTCAGCACTGCCAGCAATCTTGGCTGCAACCCCAGTAGGTTCTGAACATTAAGGAACCTGACTTTATCTCCGAGGAAGACAGTCTCAGCTGCAGGGAGCTCCGGCCCACCTGTGCCTACCTCCCTACTCCTCACTCTCATGGAGGAACATGTCAGTCAGAAGCTGCCCCACGGCCTGCATCTTAGAGACTCTAGGAACCAGAGGTTCTAAGAATCTAACTCCGATTCTAAGCAGCTGCAGTGTAACGTCTTTGGAGAAAGTACATGCTGATTTGATCAGAGACGCAAAGGGAAAGACTCTCAAAGCCCCGTTTGGAGTCCCCCCCCAAAACTCTGGGAATAATAAGGAAAATAACTACAAGGTTCTAAGACTTGGAATCGTCTTTCTGATGAGGATCCACAAGCAACTCATGGACGTGCACAGTCCTTTCTGAGACTGTTAATAAGATAGAGCCATCAGTATTGAGCCAGGAGTCGAGGTTGATGTCACCACTGCAGATGCTTAAATCAGCTTTTTTAATAACTGATCATCAGTTAAAAATATAAACAGACCTGATTTGTGAACTGAACAAAGGCTTTTGACACTTGGAATAAACACCTGATGGGTAGGCTGGATTCTCTGCCCTTAAGGAAAAGAGCCCCAGCTGGTTTGAGTATAAGGTTTAATGTAAGAGACGCTGGATTGGCAGAGTTGGGACAAAACTAGGAGATGCAGATCTAGACAGTGACTGAATAGCCGAGGTGGTTGGACAAATTCTGACCATGCTCTCCTGAGTCCTCCAGAGCGCTCTGCATGCCCCGGCTAGAGGCTCACAACCACCTGAAGGCTCTGATGAATCTCTTCCCAGAGCCATCAAGACTAGCTGGCCTGAGTCAACACAGCAGGCGTCATCTTTGGGACAGGCTTGAGGAAGTGGGTACGGGAGAGGGCGTGGGGTTGGGGTACACTTGCTGCATGCAGGGGCCCAGGAGGCGCTCAGCGTGCATACTTGGCCTTTCCTCTCCCCCTGACTGCTCATGTTTGGGAAGAAGGAGGCCATCCAATCAAAGAAGAAAGGTCTTTCCAAAAGCTATATTTGGCGTAAGCTAATGCCACTGCTAGTGCTGCCAGTGGCCAGGCACAGACAGAAGGCCCTGAGGAGCTGGGCAGGAAGGAGTGTGGGCGGAGCGGGAAACAGCCGGCTCACGGCCCTGCCCCAGGAGCCCGGCAGGGTAAAGGCCGTGCAGTGGAGGGTAGCATACGGTCCTCCTCTTTGGTCACGCAAAGGCCCCGGCACAGGCCTGGGAAGGGAAAGGGCTGAGCGGTGCAGGCTCTGCCCTCAGGCCCTGTGCTTCAGGCTCATCGCGTGGAGACGGTGACGCAGCAAGAGGCGAGGCAAGGAGACAGAGCATCAGGCAGACACCCCTGGCTCCTAGGAGCTGCCCTTGTCCTCCATGAGGTCGTACCTGGGGGGACGAGCAGAGGAGGCTCAGGTGAGAAGACGACCTTCGTGTTCGCGTATACATGAGACAAGGTCTCAGGGCTCTCATACTCCAGATCAGCGGTTCTCAGCTTGGCTCACACCCTTTCTCCTTCCTACTCAAACAGCCTGGGCCACTGCCAGCTCATCGGGTACTCACCACTGGGCCGCACCCTGGGAAAGGTCCATCTCAGCGAGGTTGAGCTGCACCTGTGTTGGAGAGGAGTCGGTGTGACACGTTACTTTTCATGTCTCCAGACACCACGCCCCAGCCTGTCAGGCTCCTGGTCCCGAAGCACTGCGGGGGCCGCTAAGCGCTGTCTGGCTGTGACCCCGCGGACCGCGGCCTGCCCGGCTCCTCTGTCTGTGGGATCTCCGAGGCGAGGGTCCGGAGGGGGCTACCACTTCCCTCTCCAAACTGGGCAGTGACCTCAAGTGCATCTGTGCTGCAGTGTCGCCAGGGCGCCGCCTACCATCAGGGACCACGAGCCTGTCCCCCACAACTCTTCTCACTGATGCCCTGCCCTCTCACCTTCCCCAGCAGGTCGCGCTCTCTCGACATGAAGGAGGAGCTAGACTTCACAGACACATCCAGCCTTCGCCGGAGCGCCTCGTCCAGGGGCAGCTCCCACTCAAACCTGAGGAAGGACTGGGCGTCAGGGGCAGGGCCCTTCCCAAGCCTGCCGTCTCTTCCCTGGAAAGCCCACGGACTGACCGCTCGTTGAACTCAGGATTTAGGGCCCTCTTCTTCTGTGAGGTCTTCCTCTTGGTGCCCCGGTTCTTATCTGGCAGTAGCAACAGTGACACGTAGGGATCGGGGGGATCCCGTCCATTTTGTCGAAGGGCCCTGTGACAGGAGGGAGGAGGTGAGAAGGCCACCCAAGGCGGGGACAGGTAGAACCTGGAGGGGGGACAGATGGGGTCTCACCGGCAGCCATGAATGAGGGCAACCAGCTTTCGTTCTTCACTGTGGTACCAAACAGTCAGCTTCAGCTGGCCCAGCGGCCCGGCTGGAGCCTCAGGGGAACTATGGAGAGACAGAGAAGCGCTGGGGGCAGGCAGTGCCTCAGGAGTCTGTAGCTGAGCCTTTACGTCCTCGACGGAGCCCGTCTTCCTGTCCCAGCACTGTACCTGTCACTGTGCGTTAGGCGCTGCCTGAGCTCTGGGGCTGAAGAGGTGACCTGAGGAAGTCCGCTCCAGAGCTCTAGTTCGCTCAGAGAGGAGGAGCTGTGGCTGTGAGCCTCCACCCCGGAGTGCTGGGACACCAGGATCTAGACGGACACGGAGGCGGTGAGCCACGCAGCCCTCTGCCCCCGCCCCCCCATGCCACCACGCCTCCTGGCACTCACCCCGAGCTGTGCTCTCAGCAGCACCTGCCCTTGACCGTCGCTGAGTGTAAACCAGCGGTCCAGGCAGAGCCGGTCAGCCACAAGGAGCTCGGAGAGGGGCAGGGACAACGAGCCCAGCGTGCCAGTCCCCTCCCCCCGAACCTGCGAAGCAACAGGGCTGTCATCAAGAGAGAAGAGAGCTCCTTGGCAGTCCAGTGGTTAGGCCTGGGCGCTTTCACTGCTGGGGCCCAGGTTCGATCCCAGCGCAAGCCTTGCAGCATGGTCAATAAAGGGGGAGAGGTGATTTAATCCGGGCATCCCAGGTCCAATGCTTGGACACTCGGGTGGTTTTGGTGGCAGACTCGCCTTCGTGAAAGGCAGGGAAGCTGTGCTAACAGTCGCTGCTGGCCCCGTTTCCCTCCTTCAACCAGAATAGGCTGTATAATCTTTACTTTCTCAGCTTTGATAGATTATCCCAGTTGTAACTGCACAGGGTGGGGAAGAGAGCAGTAAAGATGAAACTGCTTCCTGCCCATCCTACCCTCATGGCCACACTCTGCCCCGGAGCTCTTCCTAGTTCTTTATACTGGCAGAATTCTAACTAAACGAACATGCCTATGTCTCTGTTTCATAATTTGCCAGCTTTATTATCTACTGATTCCCTGCTGTGCACGATGATTAACTGAGCTCATTTACATCTCTCCTCTACCTCTGTCAGTGTTGACAGCTGTGTTACTCTAAGTTCTATTGGTTTCTACTCATGTAATTCTCTACTTACTGTTCTATCAACTTTGGGAGGTATTTCTTGGCTCCTTACTCCAGAAAGAGCCCGGCACTGATGTATTAACTTCCCTCATCCTCTCTTCACCTCCCAAACCTCAGGACTTTTTGGTCACCCTTCAACCCACTGAAATCTAGTTTCACTCCATTCCAGCTCCTGAAGTTGTTCCAGTCACTGGTGCTTCCTGGTTTTCAAAGTCAGTGATAGTTTTCAGTCATCTGAGTTTACCTCTCAATACCATCTGGTCGCTTCCTGCGACTTCTGTAACCCAGCCCTTCCCGGTGAGCGTCGCCCTGGACTGCAGGCTCTGACGGCTCCATCTGCCCTTCATTTGTCGCAGCGCCCAGCACATCCCACCTTTGTCTCCTTCTGACTCTACACACGCCCTGAGAGAGCGTGCTCGTGCTCATGACTACAGCTACTGCCTGTGGCTTGCTCGCAATGCTCAAACAAGAGGGAGAGGAAGGGACCCCACGATGGGCCGGAGATCTGCCTTCCGCATGGCCAGCTCCCCTCGGATGGCCCTCAGAGATCTCGGCTTCAGAAAGCCCTGCCCTGTGCACCCGTCCGCACTGGAGACCCGGGAGTTAACGCACAGACTGCTCTTCGCTCCTCCCCACCCCCTCCCCTTCATGTCCCAGTAACAGCCAAGTATCATCTGGCCTTTGTCCGTTCTTGCTTCAATTACTCTGAACGGCCTCTTAACTGATCCTCCGGCCTCCAGTGCTGCCTTCCTCCAGCTCATCTTTTACCCTGACAGCAACCGTCTTCCTAATGTATGAGTCTGGGTGTCCTCTCTCATTCTTTCAAGTGTTTCCCTATGCCTTTAGGGTAAAATCTAAATTCTCAACATAATTTTTAAGAACTCTTGTGATCTTGATCCTGCCTGTATCCTTAATATATTATTTGCTTCCATTCCCTTCTTAGCCTGAAGGGTTTTCCTTTCCTTTTCTTGGTCAGGGCCTGTCTACCCTTAAGCTAAGGATGCCTTTCTTACTACCCACCCTCACTTTTCCCTCCTCCTCTTCTCCCCTCGCTGCCTTCTACCTCGGCAGCTATTCTCTGGTTATTTTTCTCCTGAAAGGAGTATGAGCTCCAAACAGCTCAGAGCCACCTCTTTTATCTCTGCATGCGTGTGCCTGCTTCGGTGCCTGGGCTGTGACAGCAATCTGGTAAATGTGTGGAGGATGAGTTTGTAGTACCTGCAACTCCAGACTCTCCGTGTTTGGTTTCCTGATGAGAAAGGAGGTGCTCTCATTCCAGACGGGGGTGGCCGTTTGGGGAAGAGTCTGGTGGAGAGGAGGGGGATCCTCAGTGATTGACATTCTCTCCCCTGTTCCTCTCAGCACCCCCATTTTTAGTCCTGCAGCCTTTCCCAATACAGTACCTTCGTTTTATGAGACGTATCTCCCACAGCAAGAGTAGCGTAAGGGCTGGGAGGCTTGGTACCTTTTCGGAGCTGGAAAGAAAATACTGGTCTTAAATGTGCCCAGTTAAGGCAGATCCCCTGCCCCACAGCCAGCAGCCCATGTCACTATTGCTGCTTGACAGCCACCACCGTCCTGGCCTTGGGCAGACAATTTTTCCCATCTCAGTACCACCCTGGGAGAGAGGAATCTGGAGTTTACTATTCCAAGTACCCCAGAAGCACCCAAACCTGCGGGCTGTAGGAGGGCCAGGGAGCTGTGGGGCGTGGGGAGCAGATCTCACCGGCAGGTCCTCGGCCCGCTCCAGGTAGACAGACAGCAGAGCCGCCGCGAGGTCTGCACTTCTCTGGGTCTGGATCAGGCTATTCACCTGCAGCACCTTGGGGAGGACAAGGGGACGGGGGTAAGTGACGCTCCGGAGGGCTGGCATACGCCTTGAGAGCGGACAGAAGAGCTTCCTTTGGCCCACCCTGGGTCCCTTCCTCCTTCCAGCATCTTTCCTCACCTCTTCTAACTCAGCAGCAGCGGGGCGGGGGGTCAGACGCTCCAGACGCACGTGTAGACGGCCAGAAGGGACATCCTCCAGAGTCAGCCACTGTGGAAGCAGGCAGGGTGAAGGGAGACGGGCCAGGGACCATGGCCCCAGGTCATGTGGGGCCAGGTGTGGGCCAGGGACCATGAGAATGAGATGTACAACTGGATCAGGAGGGACTGTTGATTCTTTGTTTTTAATATACCATCTGTGGACCCTATTTGAAGCCTTTATTGAATTTGTTACAATATTGTTTTTCTTTAAATGTTTTTTGGGTTTTTAAAAATTTTTTTTGTTTTTTTTGCTGCAAGGCCTATGGGATCTTAGCTCCCACCAACAGTCAAGGCCACACCCCGCACACGGAAGGTAAAGTCAACCACTGGACCGCCAGGGAAGTCCCAAGGGATTGCTGATGGTCGTTTCATGCTCACCTCATCAAGGAAGCCACTGTTTAAGACTGTGGTGAGACTCACTTTACACCTGCAGAGTAGAAAGATTAAAATTAAGGTCTGCGGTCAAGAGCCCAGTCTCTCGTCCCCATGAGGCCAGACGTCCTGGTCTGTAAGACCCAGCTTGTCTTCCTCGTTGGACCTCACCCTCTCACCTGCCCAGAAAGTCATCCTTGTCCAGGTCTTTGTCAAAAACCTCAACCTCTAGCTCTTGACCTGGGATTGATGTGACAATCACCTGGTGGAAGAGAACAGTGGAATCATTTCCTTTTCTTCTCCGAATGACTGGATTCCCCCTCCAGTCAGCTGAACCCCAGAAGTTTTCTGGACCAGTTTCAGAGGTGGCGGAAAGATGGGGCAGGACTGGGAAGAGTTCTAGCCTTCAATTCTGACCTCAAAGACCTCGTTCCAACGGGGATTGAGATCTTCCCGAACAACACGGCTGCGGAAGCTTCGTCCTGCCAGCTTTAGTTTGACATAGGGGTCTGACTTGCCCTTCACTAATCCCCCCAAGAAGCGGTCTTTGGCAATCAGGTCCTGGGCCTCTAATACATGGATCCGAAGCACATTCTGCAAAAGGGACAGATGGGGACACCATATGGCAGTCAGAGAGAGACACCGGTCAGACCCAGTCTTGAAACAGGTTTTGCACGTGTAGAGGACCACAGTGGGCAAACAGACCCTAGTCCTATCCCGTACAGACTTACCTCCGTCCCAAAGCTACTGTCAGGAGTGGTGTGACAGGGCCGAGGTGGGACATCCACACTGCTGCCTGCCTGTGGGCTCTCGTCCAGGTCCCAGGCCCCAGGAGTGCCAGGCACGGCCGGGAAGCGCACTTCTGACGTGTCCAGGTACAAGAGCTGCGAGGGCAGAGTGCTTGTCGAGGCAAAGCGAGGCCACCAGCAGGCAAGGTATGTGGGGCCTAGCAGGCGGGGAGCAGGGGCTCTGACCGGGAAACTAGGTCCCTGCCTTGGCTGGGCTCATCTCTGGAGGGTTCCCTCCACACTCATCCTACTCTGACACCATCTCTTCCTTCAGTTAGAGCAACAAACTGTGTGTGTCTGCTCAACGCTCCCACATATACTAGCTCATTTCATCGCAGAGGATTCCCTTTCCTTGTTTTTTTTTTGGCTGCATGTTCCCAGACCAGGGACGGAAGCTGCAGCCCTGCAGTGGCAGCACTGAGCCTCAGCGACTGGAGCCAGGGAAGTTCCCTTTTTCGGGGTGTGCGTGTGCTGAAACCCAGGAGCGAGCCACCTCTCCTTACTCTAATGCCACAGGAATCCACGAGGCCCTTCTCCGCCCATAGCACTGTCTCCCCCTCCATACCCTCATGACGAGTTTCATGTAGAGACGGGAGTTTGGGCCGGAGCTGCTGAGCTGGAACCACTGGTCCAGGGTGAGCTCCGGGGCAGTCAGCAGGCGAGCCAGAGGCAGGGTCAGTGCCCCTAAAGTCAGGGCCCTGGAGTCATCCTTCACCTGTAGGCGCAGGAAGAGGGGATGGGGAGAGAGATTAGGGGAAAGGGGTACACGATGGAAATGACGACGCGGCCGCAGCTTCACTCTGAGCCAGTCACAAACCTGCTCCGCTCCGGGCCGTCCTTTACAGTCCTCCGTCCACTCCATGGCCCCTGCCTCTCGCTCTTTCTGGTCTCCTTACCTGGCACTCTCTCATTCTGCTCTTCTCTGCCTATTTAAATCCTGATATTGCAGTCCCTCTGAAAATCCTACTTCTGTCACAAAGTCTCTCTAGTTACTCCAGCCATCCTAAGCACCATACTTTGGGTATTTGACTCCCACTGGTTAATGCTGAATCATCTTTCCTCACATACGTTTGTCTCCTCTATGAAACTAGCCAGTAAGTTTCAAGACAGCAGATACTGTGTTCCATGCTTTTTCTATGACCTTAAAAGTGCCAGATGTCTGGGAGGTTGGGACTGGCATGTGCACAGCACCATACTGCAACAGAGACAACCAACGAGGGCCTGCTCTAAACCACAGGGAGCCACACTCGGCCCTCTGCCGTAGACTATACGGGAATAAAACCTGGAAATAAGTGTATGAATATGTGTGCCTGAACTACTTTGATGTACATCTGAAACACAATGTTGTTCTAACTCTATACTCCAATATAAAACAAAAAACTTTTAAAAATAAAAATATGCCAGGAAAAAAAATGCTAGGTGTCTAACTAGTGCTCAATATGTTCTTCCCTTTTAAAAGATATTTTTTTTGAGGCATAATTTACAAACCACAAAAATCACTCATTTGAAAGTACACAGTTCTCAATTAGAAGAATGAGGCTAGAGAGGTGGGTGGGGAAAGGTGGAGAGGGTAAGAGGTGGAGAGTCTCGGTACATGGACTGAAAATAGAGGCCGTGGACTTCCCTGGCAGTCCAGTGCTTTAGGACTCCATGCCCTCATTGCAGAGGGCCCAGGTTCGATCTCTAGTCAGGGAACTGTGACCTGGAAAGCCACACAGTGAAACAAACAAACAAACCCAAAAGAGAGAGATCAGAGGAGGAGATGCAGAGAAGAAATGGCGCAGACCCGAGGAGAGAGACGAGCGTCCGGCGGGAAACGAGGCGGCTCTCACCTGCACGTCGAGCTCCTGGCTCCGCGGGTCTTGCAGGAAGAACCGGAAGGCCTGCTCCCACACTGGGCAGCTGCTGCTGTAGACAGCCTGGGGGTGCGCAGGACTCGGTCACGGGCGCGGGTGCCTGGCCCAGCACCGGGTCTGTTCCTCCGGAAAACCCTTGCCCTCACGGCGCCTAAAGGGAACGCTTCATCCCCCCTGCTGTCCCCGCACGCGAGGCCTCCCGCAGTGGCGCCCTCGTCCCGGCCGTCACCTTGCTCTCCTGCGTCGCGTCCTGGGTTGACAGCTGTACCATGGGGTTGGGCTCCTTGTTCCCCTTCTTCAGCTGCGGGGGGCAGAGTTCAGAAGTCACCATCTTGGCGGTTCTGCGCTCCAGTGAAGGCAGGGCGCGCTCGTCAGCGTCTCTCCCGGGACGCCTCTGGCCCCTTCTGTGGGGCCCCGAGCTTACGCGCTGCCGCCACTGGGGCAGCGCGGGCAGGGGCAAGGCGGGGCGTGGGAGCGCTGGCCCCGCGGCCTGCTGCTCGCCCGCCCTCAGGAGCCGCACTCACGGGAAGGTCCTGGGCCCGATCCAGATAGACAACCAAGATGGCGGCCGACGGGGGCTCTGGGCGGGAAGACACTCCGCGGTTCCACCGCAGGATCTGGCCGGGGGCGGCAGCGGTCAGACCTTCGTCCACTAGGCCCCATGCTGCCAGTCACCCACTTCTGCCCTGCCAGCTTACCGTTCTGCGCGTTAGTTACCTGCTCCAGTTTTTCGGCATCTGACAGAAGGGAAAGCCATTCTAGCCTTAAGTGAACTTGGCCTTGCCCACCTTGAAGAGGGAACCACTGGAGGGAGAGGTGGAACAGAGTGAGGAGAGATCAGGTACCCACCCAACTTCCTCCCCGCCAACGCAGTAACCTCTATCTACACAAGGGGGACACCACCCTCCACCTTCCTCTTCTCCCAGCTTACTTCATCCATTACTCCAGCCTGCAACACTTTCCCTACATCCAGCTTCATTCTGGGCGGGGAGGGGACGGTGGTGGCAATGATGGCAGTGAAAGGGAAAAAAGAAGATAAGTGTTGTAATTAGCAGAATGTCATTCGCTGGCCCGCTTCTCACCCAGAAATAACTGGCAGATCTCAGACTCCCTTCTTACACTCAGGAGGTATTTAAGTATGTGTGCATGGTGGGGATGAAGGGTGGGAAGTTCGGAAAGAAAATGATTACTATTCCCCTGGCCTGGAAAAGGATTCTAATTACCTCTGGGATGTCAGTGGCCCTGGGGATTTAGACTCCTAACGTAGGCAGAGTCTCACCTGCCCAAAAAGTCATCTTTGTCTGGATCCTTGTCAAACACCTCCACCTCAATTTCCTGTCCTGGGACCTCATGCACCATCACCTGAAGAATACAGAGGGATAAGGGTCTGCAGGTGAGCAGCATCCAATCAGCATCTTCTCTCAACACCTCCTGGAACTTCCCCACCTGACCATGCACCCCCCCACTCCTTGGCTCTCCCACCTCGTAAGTCTCTCCCCACTGGGGGTTGAGTTCCTCGTTGATGACACGGCTGCAGAATGCCTGGGTGCCCACTCGCACAAGCGCATAGGGGTCTGACTTGCCCTCAATCAGGCCCTTCACGTATTTATCCTTGGAGCTCAGCCCTCGAGCGGCCAGCAAGTGAATCCGAACTATGCCCTGAAGGGGAGGAATCAGGTTGTGAGAAATTAAAGACCCACCACAGGGTTCCTGAGTGAAGGGCTCTATCCAGGGGGAGAGGCCATACCCTGGGAAGAGGGGAACGCAGCTGGGCCACATCTTGAAGGTCATGCACGAGGGGCACCAGTAATCGGTTGGGCAACACAAGGAAGGCAGCGATGGAGTCCATGATCATGGTGTCAGAGAGGGAGCTGAACAGGGGAGCGGAAACGGAGGTGAGTGTGAGGGTCCCTGTTTCCCCTACAGCTGGAGGGAAGGTCTTTCTTGAAAATGCCTTTTCGCTGCCCTTGACCCTCACTGCCCACCTCCTGCTCAGCCCGTCCTCGCTGCCATCCAGCTCTGTTTTCTCCCTCTGTCCCTGGCTGAGGGTCCCGCAGCCCTCTTCATTCTCTACCAAAACGCAGGCTCCACAGGAGAAAAGCCACACCACGAAACTTCTCAGGAGTATTTGTCTCATCTCCCCAGCTAGGGTCAAGGCTCCTGGAGGAAACCAGCTGCATTTTTTTTTTTTTTCTATTTATTTAGCTGTACTGGGTCTTAGTTGTGGCACAAAGGATCTTTAGTTGTGGTATGTGGGATCTAGTTCCCTGACCAGGGATAGAAGCCAGGCCCCCTGTGTTGGGAGGTCGGACTCTTAGCCACTGGACCGCCAGGGAAGTCTCCCGGGTGCATCTTTCACTGCTCTGTACCCCTTAAATCTTCAAATTAGGGTTGGAACACTTAGCAGGTGCTCAGTAAGTCCTTGATACCTGAGTCCTGGGATATCCAGCAGGTTGGTCATCCCCGTCCAGTTGATATCTAGGGTCTGGAAGCAAAGAGCAGGGGGATCAGGACACAGCACATGGGGGGGCATGCCCATACAACTGTGGCCAGCGCCCTGCCGGCTCCCGCCTGCTTGTCAGTTCCCTGCCTCGCTCCGCACTGGGGAGATCGAGGTGGCCATCCTCCACCTCCCAGTCCTCCCTGCTCCCCATTTCTCCGCCGCTCCTGATGTCTTCTCTTACCGGGCGTCGGATGAAGAACATCGACACAGCCCCCACGATAGGGAGGTCCCCCATGAGTGGCTCGAGAATCACCCGTAAGGTGCCATGTAGCTGGGGAAGAAAAAATGAATAAAGCCTTTCCTCAGAGAAGGTCTTCTTTCCCTCCCAGACCTCCCCAGCCTTGGTTTTCCCAACCTCCCACTTCCGCCGTCCACTGACACTCCAGGCAAAGGCTTCCTGTGGAGGCCCCGGGCATCTGCCTTACCTGCATGCCCTTGACTCCTGCTTTGCAGAAGTATTTCTTCACTTCCACATCGATCTGAACGTCACCTACGTAGCTGGGTGTTGGGGAGAAAGAGGACAGGGGGTGAGTCCTCGGCTGAAGAGGGGTGAGGGGAGCAGAGAGGTCAGAGTGCCCGGGAAGGGGATCCGGGAGGAGTGGCAAGGGGCAGCACCTGACATTCAAATCCAGCAGGATCTGTCTTCTGCTCTGGCCAGTGTGGACCGTGACTCCAAGGATGCGCAGTGGCTGCAGAGAGAAGAACGCTCGAGAGGGGAGGGGAAGACCCCCTTGGGCCACCTGCCTCCCCTGTCCCCACCTCTTCCCTTCCATTCCTTCCCCCCCATACAAGTACCTTTTCACCCAGTTCCACTCGTGTAAAGGTAAATGTCTGCAGGTGGGGGTTAGATCCTCGAACAGCTGGGGCCACAGTTTCAGCGAGAAGCTTCTCCATATACTGGCCCAGGAAGGGCCAGACCTGGGCCACCATCTGGGAGAAAGGGGGCTGGTCACAGAAGAGCCCGCTTTCCCTCCAGCATCCTCCCCGTGGGGAGGCCAGAACTGAAGTGTGGCAGACGAACCCTATTCTCCCCCTCATGAAAAACAAAAACCAGGACAATCAACCCTTACCTTATTGAGCCACTCAGCCTTTTCCACATCTGGGAAGCTGACCTGGAGGTGGAAAAAAATGGAGATAGTGGTGAGCGCTGTGGCTTTCTGCTAAGATGCCCACTGAGGAAACCGAAGTGGACAGGGCCTCCGCACACCCAGCGGCTGGGGGCGGAGCCGTATGTCCTGGGGATCTAGTCCTCCGCTGGGCCACACAAAGTTGCTTGCAGATAGCTCCAGGGTATGAAATGATGACAGCTGCTGAGGCAGGGAGGAGGAGGGGAGAGAAGAGCACATTCTTTCTGGAGGGGAAGGTCCTGACCAATCAGAGTCTGAGGAGGAAATCCTGGGATCCGGCTCCTTTTACCAGCCTTCCTTCAGCCCTCGGAACCACTGCTTCTACACCAAGAGGTGAAGCAGGAAGCGGCTCCTGAGTTAGGGAGGGGCCGGGAGAGCTGTTTGGGCCCAGGCCGGTGTCTTCTTTCTTTGTAATCAGTGTGACTCCTTTCCTGGGAAGGAGGTACACCTGTGCTTTGTACTAGGGGAGGAGGAGGGGGAGCTGCTTTAGGAGGAAGATTAATTCCTCTGATGAGGAGGAACAGAAACAGTTGGTGCCTGGGCTCCAAGGCCTGTGGGACCATTGCTCCCCCTTTCTCCCCCCCAGTTCAGAGTCTAGGAAGCATGGCTATGTCTGCCAAGTGTCAACTTCAATTTCCCCTAGACGGGCACCTCTGCTGGGAGGAGCGGGAAGGGAGGGCCAGGGAGAGGCTGGGTAACGGGCTGGGCACCTGCAAGGCCTCAGAGAAGCCATCGGGCCCCTCACCACAGCAGAGGGGGCGAAGAAAACGGGTCCTGGCTTCAAGCCAGCAAGCGCAGCCCGCAGTCCGGAAAAGGGTGGGGCCGGCCAGGGGCGGTGGAGTGTGGGCAGCGGGCACTGCAGAAGTCGCATGCGCCCCCCGGCCCCGGTAGCACCCCCGCCCTTTGTCCAGCAGTCGCCTCCACTGCTCCGTGGCCCAGCCACCCCAGGCTGAAAAGGAGAGGGTTGGAGGGTCCGTCCAGGTGCGGGGCCTCGACTGGGCAGCGCTCCCAGGGCGGGTCTCGGGGTACTCGAGAATAAGAGCGGGAAAAAGGAGAAAAAGCTTATGGCCTTAAATGGGTATTAAAAAAAAAAAAAGTCTTGGGGAGGACAGGAAAGAGGAGGAACCCCTCTGAGCGGCCACCGGAGCGGGGATGCCCAGCAGCAGCGTGAGTGGCACCAGAAACAAGGAGGGGCATTGGAATGGTCGGTTGGAGGAAGAGCCACGCCTGAGATGGGTTTCCCAGATGTTATTACTGTTCTTGCCTAAGCGTGGAGGAAGAAGTCCTGATTCTGTGGAAGAATCGGGATCCGGGCGTGCGGAAGGGGGTGGATAGTCGCTCCCAAGAGTGGCGCGTCCCAGCATGCAGGCGGCTAGCGGGCCAAAGGGGTAAGTCTGCGGCTCATCGTCCCAAGGTGAGGAGCTGACTTTAAGGATAGGGAGAGCGCTCGAACTGAGGCGCTAAAAGGGGGCTATTCTGCATTGATGATTGAAGGTGGTCGCTCACCCAGGCAGGTAGCTCTCGATGGCTCATGTAAAGAGTTTTCGCCGTAAGCCGTTCTTCATCGTCCAGCAGCTGCCGCGCGACTCGAAGGCTCCGTTCTTTCTCCTCGCGAACCCGGCGCCAGCCCAGATAGAGGGCGAGGCCGAAGAGCACAAAACCCACGCTGAGCCCCATTGCCCCGGCCAGGTACACCGGCACTAGCACCAGCAACCGCCGCCCGAACGAGGTCAGCACCGCCAAGGCCTCGCCCGCCGCTCCTGGGCCGGCAGGTTGGTCCCCAGAACTCTGCTCTGGCTTCGCGTGAGCAGCAGGGGGCTGGTCAGGGGGCTCGGAGGGAGGGTAGGGCTGGTCCACCCGGCTGGGGCCGGGGCTGGAGCCACTTCCAGGAGAGGGTTCCATGCTGCCACCTCAGGGAGACCCGCCCAACCCAGAGACCAGCCAGAGGTTGCCTAGTTTTGCGACTAGCTCCCCCTCTTACAAACCATAAACCCCAGAATGGGGGAGGGGACTTCAGGCCACGCCCCTCCGTTCTGACTGTTTGGGTTGGTCCGCACCGCATAGGCGAAGGTGGAGTCAAACGATCGGAGCCCCGCCCCCTTCCGCGAGGCGGGGGAAGGGGCTCGGGGGAAGCAGGACCTTGCTGACTGGACCTGAGTGCCAAGATGGGCGGCCCGGGATGGCGGGAAAAGGAGATAAAGGCTAAAGACTAGCATGTGATTAGTTAGAAACAGGAGGAGGCGTGGCTACCATTTAAAGAGGAGAGGCGGGACCAGGAGTCCCCCCACGTGGGATTGGCCTGCCTGTGGTATGACATCATGCGGAGCGCACCGCTAATTACTCGGTTTTAGAGGTAGATTGAGTAGCGAAGTTGAGGGGTTGTGGAGGGTGGCGATTTCCTTCCACTCTATTCAGACAATTTGGCAGAACTTGGTCTGGGGTTCCTACGTGTTAAATTTGTCTCCTTTCCCTTGTTTTCATTCTTTAAGCATGCCTTATCCTTCCACTTTTTTTCTGGCTGTCCTTACAAAAGGAAAAGGAAATTACCCTATTTAGAATCAAAGTGTTCAGTGACCTACCCTCTCTATCTTATTCCCAGTCATCTGCCTCGTCTATGCAGTGTAATGACAGCCTCTGGAAAACAAAAAACTGGAAAGTCTGAAAATTACAGAGTTTAGATAATTCAGACTTCAGGCAAGGGGTGGGGGGGGGGGAAGCAGGGTGAATAGGAAGTGAGGTTTTATCTTTAGAAATCTCCAAGTACGTCCATTCTACCTCCAAGAATTAGTCATCTCTATTTTAAAGAGTTTAAAACTAAACTGGATCCAAAGGGAGGTGGGGGCTCAGCTGCAGCAGAAGTGATTTTCCAAGAATTCCTGAATTTGAGGAACCGCTAGGACACTAAAATGGGTAATCAAGAGTATGAGACAATTCTGTTTCTCATTTGCCTGTGTTACAAGGAAGGTGTTTAGAATATAGTCAGATGTGGAACTCAGTGCTACATTGCACTGTGTAGGTTTAGGAATGAAAAAATTCAGGGTACACTGATGAGGAGTCTTGTTATAAGTTAACTAGAGTGTTGTCTAGGCACTTAGAAACTGGGCTGATTGGAAGCCCAGGAGGGACGGATTGGCCATGATTACTTTTTAATGCAATATATGTGGGGCTGTGTTACTGTTTGATTTGCAGCTGTTAAATTTTATTTAGCTCTGCAGGGCATAGATTTCATCAGGCTATGTTTCATCAAAGCTGTTTAAAACTTACCCTGCCCAGCCTTCCTCCCTTAAATTTTCTCACTTCCCTTTCTTTTTCTCTGAAACAGTAACTAAACTGCTTCTTTCAGTTTGCAGAACTGTATAAAGAACAATTTGCTATCTATGTTCTCCATATCCTGATGAGCAGGTATAAAAGGAGTTCAAGGGGTTATTACTTCTGATTCCTTGGAGGAGGTAAGAATGATTTGCCTGCCCACCAGCTGATGAAACAGAACCATAGCAGGAAAATGGATGAACATCCTTAGAGGAAAACCTTTCTAATAAAACTAAAATTTGCCAAATACTGGAGTAGAGGGAAGGAGTCCCTTAGGCTGGGGGATGAAGAGGGTGACTTATGGAAGTTCCTTTCCAAACTTTTCCCCTTTCTCATCCTATCCAGATCAGACCCTCCTACTGAAGATGGTATGTGGAAGACAAAAGCTCATCCTCAGGAAGGTCTCTTTGCAACTGGCACCCAGGAACCACAGAATCAGCAGCTGCAATGCAGGCACCAGAACGAGTAAACAGGGTGGGTCCCCACCCATTGACAATTCTGCTGCCCAGGTGCCACCTGGTGGTGATATGCAGTAAGCGGGTAACAGGAAAAAGGATGGCCATTTGTTAGAGGAAGTGTCTAAGGGAGGAGAGCATTGAGACTTCCTGGTTTTGCATTCTGCCTTTATATGTAAATTACAATTGCTTCCCAGGGTTGGAAGTGGTAATCTGGTCCCAGACTACTCTTCAAGATGGCAGTGGCAACAAAATTTGAGGAAACTTCCTCTGTATTATTCCTTCCAAGTTACTGGAAGGTAGTGGTCTCGTTGTTGGATGGCTCTATTATTAGCACTTATCTTATGCCAAGCTGGAGCCAGACTGCCTGAAGAGATTCGTGGATCCATTCTTTACTAGTTGTGGAACCTTGGGTTGATTACCTTCTTTAAGTCTTTCTTCTCTGGGAAACAAGTACAATAATAATGCCCGTTGTGTCAATGAAATACAGCATGTCAAGTGACAAGCACAGTGCCTTGGTTTATATTAAGTACTCACATGTTAGCTATTTTCTAGAACTCTGCTTGTGCAGCAACACAGGAACTTTATTAGGTAGCCCTTCAAATACCTGAAGACATCTATGGGGTCTATCCACAGTCTTATCAATTTTTTTCCCCAGATACCCCACTGCTTTGCCAATGGCCCTCTGTAAAAACTATTTAGAAGAACACACAATACTTTAGAACTGATTCCTGTCAGACAGACATGGTACAACTACTACATTTATAATGCTCAACTATGGTTTTTTTTAATCCTATGGAGCTTCTAGAAAGGTGCCTACACAACAGGCTTGTAATATTAACTGACATATTATGAAGAATAATATTTTTTCTGCAGCCAGTTGGAAGTCCCATGTTGTTCTCATGTGAATTATTGCTAATATAGAGCTCTACATTTGTTTCTCAGGCAGGTTCAAGTAATTTTTAGGGGCAGAGTCAATCGAAATTGACACTTCAGATTAGTCAATCCAAGTTACCGACATTTCCAGTATTACTTATAATTTCTTTGTGTTATGTTAGTGAGTAGGCTTTTCATATTTTTATACAATGAAAAAAATATAGCCCTTGGGTATATCTCTAACATGAATGTGCCCATCAACATTTACTAGGCACAAATGTTCAGTTTCGATTCCATCAAATTCTATTAACTGACCCATAATTATTCTCTTATCTGCAATGACTTAGGTGAGAAAGAGGAAAGCAGTTTCTGACATCTGGGAAATGGCCTGACACAGCTGGCCTTTGGAAGTATTAGGGGGCTGACCTGGGTTCACAGGTAGGTACTGCTGGACACAATCTCAACAAAACACCAACATCAAACAAGGGCACTCAGTGATTGTGATGAAGTGAGGCAAAAAAAAAACAAAAAAAAACCAAGATCACAATTTTGTTTAAGTGCTAAACAAGGTCAGTGTGCAAACCTTAAACTGCAAACATCCCCCTCTCCCAGGTAAGGACTACTGCTTCATTACTTATTGCAGTTTCAGCTTCACTTTAGTCTGTCCTTTTTCTAGATAAGATACCCAATCTTAGCATTTTCCCTGCTTCCCTAACAGCACCCAATTTAGAGTGAAGCTCTATTTTCTTGAACCTTCTCCAAACTCAATGAAAGTCCAAGTCCTATAGGTCCTTTCTAACATCCTCTTGCAAGACACACATGGTTCCACATGGTATCCTCTCTCCATCATCACTAAGAGCGTTAAATCCACCCAATTTACTCAACTGTAGGTATATTCTTGGTGGTCTTTAGCTGGAGCACATTAGAAAATACATACAACATCTACAGTTTCCCAAATCTACCTCTTTAGAGATACTTGGCAAAAAAAAAAAAATAATAAAGTTAGCTCATCAGAGTTTGGCTAGGAATTCATGTTGGTATCTATGATCACATTTGTCTAAATGCTCATAAACCATCTCTTTAATAATCCAGAATTATATCAGAAAATCAACATTAAGCTTATCAATGTGTGGCTTCTAGAACCCACAAACAGTATTTCAGTATTTGCCCATTTCAGTCTTTTGCGCCCCCTCCCCTTTTTAAAATGACTGGCCGTGACTTAGCCCATCTCCAATCCCAGGATATACTGAATGACCCACCAAACAAGAGCAAGAGGTAGCACGAGATGTGATGGGGGAAGAATAAGCCAGGATCACTTTCTTTACCCCCAAATCCACTGTCCCATTAGACTATTCCCCTGAGTTCTTTCCCCTACACCAGCCATGAGCTGAGGAGGAACCGAGGTTTGGCTACTGGGACCCTTGGCCTTACTGACTCCTAACTGGGTTTAAAACCTCTGTGGTCCTATGTGGAAGCAGAGGGAAGTAAGGGATGAACCCTGTGGCTTATGTCCCCAGAAGAACTCTCCTTTCCCCAGCACCTCTTAAGCCTTGAAGGCTTACGGCGCTGGGAACTGAGAAAAGGATGCGGTAGGAGGGACGCTGCTGTCAACGACTCGGAGAGGAACCGCCACCTGCCCTGCCCTGTTGACACATATCCCATTCCCGTTTCCCAGCACATCCACCCTCCTTAGTACCTGCCCCCCTAAATGACCCTGGGAGCCCTGGTTACTAAGGCAACCTGGGAATAGTACATGCAGATAGGAACCAGAATGGATGGGACTGTTTTTAAACTAGATGAGGTGGCTCCAATGGTTTTACCCCATAAAGTACCTTCCCTGAAGCCCCATCTGATCTTGCTCTGGGCCCCTACCCTTCTTCACTGGCCTTCATCCATCCTCACCCAAGCTCTGTGAGAGTGGGGTCTTTATTCCATTTTGGCGTAACATCTATTTACTGCCCCCATCTTCCACACAGGCTATCTAAGCAAGTTTTCACTGCCTCCTTTGTCAAAAATAACTTTTTTTTATTTCTTTGGAACGTGGTTGGCCCTGCCCTCTGGATGTCCAGGTCAAGCCAAGGTAATGAATGCTCCCCTAGTCTCTGGGCTGGAGTACTATGGTCCCCATCTTCCCACGGGCCCAGAACAGTTCCTGTATTATCCAACTCAACTAGGCCCCAAACTGTCTGAAGGCTCCTGTCAGGCCTTCTCTCCTGGCCACCCACTTCCTGTTCTTTCCCGGCTTCCCCTCTGGGCAGGGTGTTTTTTCTTCCAAAGCCAGTGCTGGAACCTGTGCTGTGCAGAAAAGAGGACAGGACCGAGGATGCCCCCCAGATTCCCGTCAGAGGACACAAAGCCTCAGGCAGTCCTTCATCTGTTGCCCTCCGTCTGTACGCCTATGCAAGCCCTCTGAGGCTTGAAGACGACGGGCAAGAGGACCCTCATGAAAGGTAGGTGGGAGAAAACACACCAACCCAACCCTTTCTCAGAAGCAAACTCCTCGCAGTCTCTCATCCTAGTTCATGAGTGAGCCCCTAGGACAGGGCCTTGGAGGGCTAGGCGAGTGGGTGAAGGCCCCTCGACCCCAGCCCGGGAGACTACACCAGGGGAGTGTCCGTTAGCCCCATCAGTGTGGCATGGCTGTGATGCGCATGCTCTGGGAAGCGATGGGGTAAGTCACCATGGGGGTGGTGGTGTGGCTCATTGTGATTCCTGCCAAGGGCTGGGCCATCGATACGGCCACAGGGGCCACAGGAGCCACAGATACAGCCACAGGAGCCATGGAGACAGGTGGGGGTGCCATTCCCTGGGCAATTGTTTGAGCCAGAGCAGCTGACAGTGGCGTGATCTCTGGGTTCAAGTGGGGGGGTGGGGGTGGTGGAGCAGCAGGAGGTGCAGCATTAGTCGGGGGAGCAGCCGGAGCTCCAGCAGGGGCCACCAGTTCTTGCTGGGACACGGGGCGAGGCTGCAGGGCCTGGCTGCTGAGAGTAGTGTGAGTCTGGGCAATGCCATGGTTAAAAGTGGCGACAGTGCCCACGGTGGGGGCCAGAGTCTGTTCAGTTGCTGGTGCAGTGGAGCTCAGGGTCATGACCTTGGCCTGGTTGCGGAACTGAGCATTTTGCTCCAGCAGTACCTCGTTGGTCGCCAGCAGGTTGCTGACCTGCTTCTTGAGCTCCTCTACCCGCTTCCTGAGCATGGCATTCTCCTCCTCTAGCAGTCTGCACTCCGCCCCTCGGGGTGGAGCCAGGCTGTAGTCATAGGACTCAAAATGGGGACCATCTGGGGGGCAGCACCCGCCTCGCCGGCGCTTGGGGCCTGGTTCATGGTCCTCAAAGCCCCTGTCAGGGAGGTCGTAAATATCATAGAGGTCATGACGTCGTCCTGGGGGAACGGGGCCTGTTGAACCCCCACCACCAGTGCCGCCTCCACCCCGAGCATCAAACTCAAAATCCCGCTGCAGGTGACGGAACTTGCACTTGGCTCCTCTCTGGCAGTCACCCTTGAGAAAGTCACGGCAGATGGGGACCTCCTCCTTCCCATTTGGGAGGTCAGCTGGTGACAGGCCTAGGCCGGCTGCCACTTTCTGCCTCAGCCTGGGGGGCAGCTCTCCTGTCTTTTTATAGCCATCCTCGTCCTCCTTGGAGCCATGGATGAATCGGCAGTTAGGGCGGCTACACTCCTTGTTCTGGAAGTCATGGCAGAAGATGAACTCGTTTTTGCTTACCCCCAAGTTGGACACCTCACTCATGTCTGGGTGGCGATAGCGGCAGCGCTTCCCTCGCTTGCACACGTTCCTCAGGAAGTCTCTACAGATGGCATCTGAGCTGGCCCCGCCGCCACCTGCCCCTGTCCCACTGGCCTCCTCGCCGCCACCGCCTCCAGGGCCTCCACTGCTGCCGCCAGCGCCGTTGGCATAGCTGTCCCGGTCAGGCATCCTGGTCCCTCCCAACTCAGGGCTCTCTTCCTTTTCTTGCCACTCTTGGTGACCGCTAGGAAGAGAAGAACTGTGTCAGACTGGAGTCCTCCAGAGAGGCCAAGCTCTCCCATCAGGCAGGCAGTCCAGCAAGAGGCAGGCCAGAGGCACAATGGCACTGGAGGTGGAGCAGCTGACGGCTGAGCACCCTGCCTGGACTGGCTGGCTGGTCAGAAGTCCTGCCCAGGCCCTGGTGCTCCTGTTCTGTGGCAGAATGGTTCACACTTGCCTGGCTGATGGAGCAGGAAGAGAGCTGGGGTGAAGCCACCTCACAGAATGATGGCACGCCAAAGAGGCAGAAGGAGAGATTAGTGTTGGGTTTTATTTCCCCTCCTGTACTGACCTTATTAAATTTGTGGAAGCAAAATTAAAACTGCTGTCAGTGTCTGATCAGGCCATGAGGAGACTAGGAACTGTGGCTAAGATAAGCTGGTGAGCTACTAAGGGCAACAGATAACGGGATACTGGTGACACTGCTTCCCTGACCCCCTCCATGGGATGCCAGGAGAGGACTTTGTGAAGAAACAGATATGCTGACCCCAGGAAGTCCTGAGTAGAGAGACTGGTATCACCACCTTGAGGGCAATATCTAAACTTGTCATTTTTTGGAGTTCTCTCCCAGATTACCCCTGTTCTCAACACTAGGATGGTCAGCCCCCTCCCCTCCATTTCAGGGGAAGAGTTCAACAGCTAGAATCTCCACTTATAGACCCCCCAAAGGACAAAACCATTTGTGGCAAGATCAAGGCAATAGAAAGGTGTTAATTTCACAGGAACAAGTAACCTGTCTTTCTTCACTCTATACCCCTCCTACCCTCCATGAGAAGATCTCACTGACATCAAACCACACCATTCCTCACCCCAAGAAGACCCTCTTTATTTATAGACTCTATAAAAGCTTTTTAAGTCTCTTCTTGCCCAAGCGATCTCAGGAATGTCAGTCCACTGCCCTGGTTCCAGCCCTCTCCTTTCCCCACCCCCAACAAGACTAGGAGTCTTCTACCACGTGTCTGACCTCCTGAGCCTTTCCTAAGCAGTGTTCAGGCTCCCCCTGCTGTTCAAATAGGAAAACTTCATATTGTTTCTCCTTGAGTATAAGGGAATCTTTACAACTTCTTTGGCCTTCATGGCCCCCAACCACCCAGTCTGTTGCCTTGACTTTGCTTTCAAGGCAAAGTGATCCCGAAAATATACCGACTGGATCACAGGCCAGAGCTGCAAGAGAATCTGTAAAAGAGAGGTCCTCTTCCTCCAAAGGGAGGTAGTCCCAGAACAGTAAAAGCAATCAAGGAAAAGAGTGGGAAAAGAAAAGATAAAAACTTTTACTAAAAGGGAACTGACCTGCTGAATAATAAATGGCATCCATCCAAGCCTGACCCATGTTACAAATCCCACCAGAAGCAGATAATCATATCTGATACTCTTCCCCACCCAACTTTCCCAGGATTGCGTGATACCTGAGGTAGCTCAGGTGAAGTCCGGGGCTCCTGTGGGTCTCCACCTCCACATCACTGCTGGGTTCTGAGCAGGAGAAAAACAGAGACTTGGGTGTAAGAAGGGGTAAGAATGGAGAACTACAGGGTGGTTGCAGCTCTAAGAATGAAGTCTGACAAAGTGGAAAGAGCTCTATGCGTTCCAAGATTTCCTTCGGATTCAAACTGAACTTCCCCTGTCAAGGGGAGAAGCTGCCAGTAAGAGTAGTATGGGACAGAACTAATTTGGAGACCCTAGGAGAAAAAGGTGGAAAACCAGCACTGAGTGAACAAAGGGTAAGGGACGCTTCTCGAGACGGAGGAGGATGTAGGGATCAAAGCCCAGAGTCGGGCTGGGGTTAGGAACTCCGAAAAGGGAGCCGTGCAAGGGCTGCGACTGACAGTGCAATGGGATGGCGGGTTAGACTTGGGGGCGGTGATTATGACGCTTCTCAACACCCCAGAGTTTGGGGGGAAAAAAGTCCTAGGAGTTTCCCGGAGCAAGTGTTTCGCCTGGCAGGTTCTGTGCAGTGCCGCCGGAGCTCCGCCGGGGACCATACGAACAGGACACTAAGGGAGCACGAAGTGAAGCGGGAAAGGGAACTCCAGGTGACATCAAGCAGAGGGGATGGGCAAGGGTGTGACGTCACGGAGCTGGCGTTTGCTCGCGAAGCGGGGTCAGTCAGAAAAGGGGTTCGGCCCTACGACGTGAGGAACAGCCAACTCGGTCCTGGGGGGCCTTGTGTAGCCCGGCCGAGCCCAGCCGCTGGGCCGGCCCCGACTCCTCCCCTCCGGGCGCGGCCTCCACCTAAGTCTCCCGCCTCCCTCACCTGCCGCCGCCGCCGTAGTTGCTGCTGCCGCCTGCCGGTCCTCTAGCTTCGACAAAGAGCCGCCTACCCTATCGCCCTTCCGCTTCCTGCGGAAGAAATGACGCTCTAGCCATCAGACCCGGAACCACACTCTGTGGTGTGCAAAGAACTCGCGCGTCTAGCAGCAGGAAGCTCCCAGCAAGCTTTGCGCGTCACCATGGCAACGCGACTCAGTGGCGAAATGCCTCCAAGTGGAACTCCGTAACGTGGGCCTAGACAAGAGCGGACCTGATGGCTCCTATGCCCGCGAAATCAACTTGAAAACCGTCCCTGTTGTTCACGCCCTTTCCAGGAAGTAAAGACCACCCGATACTCCAGCAGCTCCTAAGACCGGAACCCACACCTCCCCGCACCACCCCCCCCGACTTGTAGATATAAAGCTTGACTTTTTCTACAGCAGGGAGTAGTAGACAGACTACTGATAGAGAATCCCCAGCCAGTGTAACCATAAAAAACCACATAACACACAAATTTTTTCTTCAGCTAAGACAGCAAAAGAGATGATTTATTGTACACGTTACATTCAGCCACAACTGAGAAGAGAACCAGTCCATAGTTATCACAGGTCCAGGGCAAAGGACCAAAAGGGACGGCTTTGATACGAGCAAGGTAGGTCTCTCAAAGGTGGTCAAGGCGATCAGAATGGCCATAGATGTTCCAGATCCATTGAGAAGTTCTAGATAGTAGGCATGCAGTCCACAATTTGTACCAGCATCCCTGGCCTCTGGCTTCCCTTGTTTCTGCTTCTGTGGCTTCCATGGGTGTACAAGTTTACTTGGACCTCTGCCTCATCTTTCTTCTTTTGCGCTTCAGCCTGAAAACCAGACATAAGAATACACCTCGGGCCCACAAACCCGAGTTCAGTCTTTCCCTCCAGTCTTAAATGTGCACCCAATACAAGGGACAGGTAAAATCAACATTACGATTCTGTCGTCTTCTGCCCAATTCATGGCATTGACCAGACTGCTCATAAGTTGTTGGATTTCTAAACCAAATGTTCGTCCCAAGTTTTGTCCACTTTGCTCCACTCCCCCCCACCCCACAGTAGTAACTACGTCCCAGCATACCTGCGCATTCGCTTCTTCCTCCACTGGCAACCGATTATAACCAAGGACAGAGAATAAAACAAGATATCATTAGTTTCAGTAACAAGTTTAGATAGAGATATGAAGAACACTAGGGGAGGCTTCCCCGGTGGCTTAGACGGTAAAGAATCTGCCTGCAATGCAGGAGTCTCAGGTTCAATCCCCGGGTAAGGGAGATTACCTGGAGAAGGGAATGGCAACCCACTCCAATATTCTTGCCTGGAAAAGTCCATGGGCAGAGGAGCCTGGCGGGCTAGAGTACACGGGACCGCAAGAGTCGGACACGACTGAGCGACTGACACTTTGGCAACCTTCATGAAGAGCGCTGCTTAGAAGCGGGTCGATTCTTGACCAAGCAGAGGGCTTAGTCGCAGCAAACCACATCAACCATCTGTGCCGCCACCTGGATCCCAGACGCAAACCCGAACCTGCCCGCGTGAGCTCTCTCCCACTTCCGGCATCTCTCGCCACAGAGCTTAACCACTACCTATTCTGCTTCTCCCCACAGCCCTTGCGCACCACCTTTTCTGCGTCTCTCCAAACTATCCTTCCTCTCCCACTAGCTCGCGATCACAACCTGAGGACCCGGCGACCCCGGCACGATGGCAGATTTCCCTCGCCAAGGTCTCCCCTGCCGACAGCCAGCTCTTACAGCGCTCGCTCCCTGGCAGGGGCTGCTTACCTTCGCTCTCATGGCGCAGAGGTTTCTACGGGTAAAGAAAAAAGTCTGCGGTTAGTCTGATGTAATGATGGTGAGCGCGGAGATCGGATGTTTACGGATTGTAGTCGGAACACGAACACAACCATCACTCACTCACCTCAAAAGATGGCGCCAAGGCCGAGAGATCGCTCGGGGCCCGCCTACGGATATTTAACGCGATGCTCAGTGTCGTCACCTCCGCTTTACCGCCCTGCCCCAGGGGGCGGGGCTCATCAGGGGGCGTGACAATAGCTTTCGGCAGTTCACTGGTGTCTCAAGAGTGATTACGCTAGAAAAATTCTGTTGGAAATCAATGTTTTTATGTGCAAGATTCCTCTCACCTGTTTTACTATGAGGATATCGTATTATTTAGCTACGAGCATATATTTCCAATAAGACGCCTAGAGGTGCAAACGAGCAAGGGTAGCTACTTCCGCCTTCCCTCTCGGTGCTTCATGGGAGTTGCAGTTTCCTGGATATATCCTCCATTTTACTGTGGATCCAGGCGGACTGTACAAAAACTCCTGATTTGTTTTACTGGTTTGCTGCTGCTGCTGCCAAGTCACGTCAGTCGTGTCCCTCTGCGCGACCCCACAGACGGCAGCCCACTAGGCTCCGGTCCCTGGGATTCTCCAGGCAAGAACACTGGAGTGGGCTGCCATTTCCTTCTCCAGCGCATGGAAGTGAAGAGTGAAAGTGAAGGCGCTCAGTCGTGTCCGACTCTTAGCGACCCCGTGGACTGTAGCTTACCAGGCTCCTCCGTCCATGGGATTTCCCAGGCAAGAGTACTGGAGTGGGGTGCCATTGCCTTCTCCGTTTACTGGTTTATTATTTATAAAACTAATATCTGCAGGTTTGATTTTGGAACTTCCAACGGTTCTAAGATTGCAGAACATTGAAAAGATATAAAGCGGGGAATCGAGAAAGCTGTTATACTACAAAAAGAGACCTTTGTTATTGTTGAAGATAAACTTTTTTCCTAGTCAACTGTGGTCTTTCCCTACAATGCGTGAGGCAGAATGTCATAACATTCCTGGCCCCAATGCATCTTGTTGAGAAAATACTTCAGTGATTCTCCCTCCGCATAGTGAATGTGGTAAGTCGCTTCCGTCGTGTCAAATTAACAACAGATCTAGTTAATGGACAGAAGGAAAGCCCGATCAGCTACATGTATATTTAAGCACGAATAGTATTTGGTGATGACAACTTCCCAGTATCAAGATATCGTCAGGTCAGAAGCACACAAAAAAAGACACCATAAGATTTGGCTACAGAAAACGTGTAATATGAAGGATGAAAGAAAACCCTTCATCATACAGACTTCACCTTATTCACTATAAGATGGAGTGAGGCTTGTTAGGATTCCTTTTTTAGTGTTTTCTTTAAAACATTTCACCTTTTTAGTTCTGGAAAATCAGGTTTCTAAATTTCAGACCCTTGTTTCAAGTGCTTAAGTGGTTCTAGTATTGTCACCAATGGACTGTAATGTGTTTGAAAACAAAAATAAAACCCCCTGCAAGATATCAAACCCACTGGGACTTCACCTGTTAATTGCTATAAACTCTTATGAAGAGATTTGTGTTCAGTTTAATTCATAATTATTTATCTTCAGGTCAGCAGTAACTCATATAAAAAATGCTCTAATACATGCATTACCCATCAAATTTCAGGCTGGCTTGAAAAAATGCATTAACCCTAAAGGCATTCTTCCTGGCTTCTTAAACCAAGATAATCATTTTGCAGTTTTTTTAATTTTTGTGCAATAAACATTGTTCTGAATTGTGTCAGCAGTAAGGGGTGTTTTTACTTCAGAAAACCAGACCAAACTCCCATAGAAAATGGACTCATAATTCATAGAACCCAGGATTTTTGTCTTCCCCCAACCCAAGGTATTCAGTGTTTTAGAAAAGTAGAATACGGCTAAAGAAAACTGGTTCCAGGGATTTCTCTGGCAGTCCAGCGGTTTAGATTCCGTGCTTCCACTGCAGGGGGTACAGGTTTGATCCTTGGTTGGAGAACGAAGATCCTGCATGACATGCTGCTGCTGCTAAGTCGCTTCAGTCGTGTCTGACTCTGTGCGACCCCATAGACGGCAGCCCGCCAGGCTCCCCCGTCCCTGGGATTCTCCAGGCAAGAACACTGGAGTGGGTTGCCATTTCCTTCTCCAATGCATGAAGGTGAAAAGTGAAAGTGAAGTTGCTCAGTCGTGTCCGACTCTTCACCACCCCATGGACTGCAGCCCACCAGGCTCCTCCGTCCATGGGATTTTCCAGGCAAGAGTCCTGGAGTGGGCTGCCATTGCCTTCTCCATGCATGACATGAGGCAAGGTCAAAAAAACCCCAAAAAACTGGTTCCAAATGATCACTTCAGCTTACTTTCCCACCGCCATCAAATAAGAGCAGCATACAGACACGTGATTATGAGCAAATCCAAATTTATTTTAATGCCATGTCATTTTCAATGTGTTTAAAAACCTCATAAGTTAGTGGGAGCCCTAGTTCCCTGGGACAGCATGCCAGAGGTACTGAAAGGTCACCTTTCTCTCCAAACCCCTAGCAATTAACCCAAGTCCACAGCTTCAGAAAGCCAGGAGTTCTGGTTCTTCAGTCTGCTCCTCTGGTTACACATCTTTCTTTCAAGGAAGGGAGATCAAAATATTTCAAACAGGGAACAAAACCACAGTGGAGCTTCCAGCTCAGGTTTCTAAGATGGAGCAACGGAGGAACCCCACTGACTTCAAAGAAATGGACAAGGTTGAGATGGATTACTTCTTTACAGCCTTGTGGAGGGAGGAAAAACTGTCCTGTAGAACAAAACTGACTACAAAGATTTACAAATGAGGATCCAATTGACAGATGAGAATCCATTAGTAAATGCAGGCTCCAGCTCCTAAAAATGGGAGGGGCCTGGCCAGACAGCCTGGATCATAAAAGGAATCTGCCACAGGTGAAGAAAAATAGTCTGAAGAATAGCTCCTCTCTATTTTGAGGCCTGATAAAAGACTTGGGGAAAGTGGGAAGAGAGAGAGGAACAAGCCCCAACAGATCTGACACTGGAGTGGTATAAAAAATTTCATCTGAGTTCTGAGTGGTGGCAGCTGTGAGCCTCCTCCCGTTCTGTTGTAGGGCCATAAACCTGGACCAAGCAGAGAATAGTAGAAAAAGGCTAGAAAGAGGGGCTTGAAGACGATGGATTTTGACTCCTGATTTTATTATTCAATTTCTCTTTTCTATTTAAAGTAGTCTTCAGTGGCTGGGAAGCCTGGCCTCCCAGGACCAGAGTCAGTTGGAGCTGGCTGTTGTTGGACAGGGGCTGGGACGGGGGGCTGGGAGGGGGACAGGGAGACCCCGCTCTGCTCGCGGTCCTGCGTGGAGAAGTCGAACTGCACTTCAGAGCCTGGGGTGTGGTGGGAGGGGATGAGGCAGGAGCGCAAGCTGGGGGAGGGGACCCACCTCAGTCCCCAGCTTCATTCTCTTCTAAAGTTTCCCCACTGGTAGCATTCTCTGCGGTCTTAGAGGCCTACATTCATGGAAAGGAGAGGGAGAAGATGTGTCAGTTTCCGACAACTTAGGGTACTGTCTGGGGGACCAAGGACAAGAATATTCCTAATTCTCTAGGTCAGGGCTGAGATGGGGAGAACTAAGGACATACTGACACCTATATCCCCACCATGACCCAGGAAGGTGAATAAAGACGGATCAGGTTCACCCCACAAGGGAGGGATGATCATAACAAACCTTCTTTTTTTTCTTTTTCTGCGTTTTCCGACTTGCAGAACTCTGGAGGAGGGCCTGCAAAACAGAAAAAGGAAAACAAATTTTGAGGAACATGGAGCAAATGCCAAGTGCTACTCTTGGCCCTGTAGCTCTTCTCAGGACTTCCTGTCACTCAGTCCTCACTCCCAAAAAAACTGCCAGGTCCCCACTCCTTTCCATCACACACTAACCTTGAGCTCTGCATCCTGGACCTCCATCTCAGACTTGTAAAGGTCAGGCTCAAAAGGACCACTGGTTATCCGCATGGGGCCATTGGGCATAAGCAGAACTGTAAATTTAAACTGGGCAACAAATTCACCTATGAGAGAAACAAAGTGTTTTGATAGAATGTCCCCTTGCCTTCAAGGAGGAGGGGACCATAATCGGGGGCTTCAAACTACAACTCTCTTCTCAGAACTCACCCTCCTTCTCATAGAGAACATTAAATGGTTGCAGCAGCTCATGTTTGGCGCACTCCACCACACCCATGCGGGCCTTCTTCTCATCTTCAAATGCTCTGGGGAGGGAAAGACAAATTCAGGTAGCCTTAACTCCCTGTCATGTCTTACCACTTTGTTCCTGTTTTTAAATAATGCCTACTCTCAGGCAGAAGTCATGCGTAGGATTGCTTTTTTTTACACTACTTCCTAGGAGAGGGAGAAGGAGAGAAGGCATGCATGCTGGCTGGAGCTACAAGTCTAGGTAGAAGAGGAGGGAAGGAGGGCAAGCGGGGTGGGGGAAGGAAAGAGATCTGGCTGTATGGTCTATGGGTCAGACTGGTCCAAGTCCTGTCCGCGCTAAGTGCAGCAGTACCTTAAAGTGAAGGGCATGGCATCAAAACGCCTTTCGACCTCACTGAAGAAGGCACGGGAAGTTTTCATTTTCAGGCCATACTGCTTAGAGGGGTCTCTCTTGTAAATGGTGGTTCTCTGTCCTGCATCCTTGGCCTATAAAAGATCACATGTGATCTGGTGCTCTTGGAACCCACCCCACAGCCTCCCCTCTCTGCCGGCTCTGGTAAACGTTCATCACCTTGCCCTCTCCTGAGCTGACGAGAACATCCACAGCATACACTTCATGTACCTCAAATTCAGCTTTTTCATGGTCCTTCCTAAAAGGAACGGAAAGGGAACAATAAGGAGCAATAAGTGGTTCCTGGAGCTTAGAAAAGAAGGTAGATAAGATTAGTCCAGGTTAGAGGAGACGGTGGTCAGATTAGCCTGGAGTATGGAAGGAGAAGTTCATAACTAGTCTTATATGACAGAAGGTCATGGGATACAGGGCACCTACTTCTGCTGGTCTGTGGGATTCTGGATAATGGTTTTCTCTCCATCGATGACATGCTGCTTCAATTGGTGTGACAGCATACCTGTAGAGAGGACAAAGCCTGTGGTACCACTCATTTAGAATCCAGATGTTTCCAACCCACATACCCAAGAACAACCACGGAGCAGGCAATGAGAGCAAAGTGCCCAGCTATGGAAACTCGGGGCACTAAGGTTTGGGGCTTGGATTATGCCAGAGCCAGAATGGATGCTCAATGGAACAAAAGTCTTAATTCTGCTAAACCACTCATACTGAGACCCTCAACCCCACTATCTGAAGTCTCACCTTCTATTGGTGTGCAATTAAATGAGTGGGCAACTTTGTTCCAGGCTTCTGTCACTTGTGTGTTCTAGAAGGACAAGATCAAATAAAATGTAAAATACCAGGAACTAGGATGTTGTCTACTATGAGAAGCAGCAGCACAAAAGAACTGAGTTCTAACATCCTCCAGCAAATGCAGTGATTCTCAGTAATTCTTCATTTCATAGCCCTAGCATCCTACAACCTAGAAATCAAATCTGCATACCATTTTACAAAGCGCTTTCACAAAGATGGTCTACTTATTCAACAATTCTGTAAGGTGACTAGTGCCAACAATTCTGTATGGTAATCTATATCCTAATCTGCAGGAGGAAAATGAGGCTCAGAAGGGTTACATATTTTGCTCAAGGTTAAACTAGTTAACCAAAAGAACCTGGTATAAACCCAGGTTTTCAGATCACAGTGTTCAGTCCATGATAACCTGGCATTCTAACCTGTTGAAAGGGTACAGAAAGTTTTATTTTCCCCTCTTTACCTCTTTCAATCATGATCTGATCCTCACCTAAATTATAGTTAAGAAAAAAAGGAAAGTGAATTCCCAATCATAGGTATTATTAAATTGTATGTCAGGTACTGTGATAATCACTTTATATGGATCATCTCAATCTTCACAACCCTGTGAGAAAGAGGCACAATTTAATTTTTCCCACTTTACAGATGAGGAAATTTTGAAGTTATTTCATTTTAAATCAATAGTGGGTGTTAATGGGATAAGAATCCAGAAAGTCTCATGTCATAGCTAGACAACAGCCACTACATTAATAGTATCTTCCAACAATAGTAAGTCTATAAATAATAAAAATAATCAATGTGTAAAATAATAATAGCTAACAAAAGGGTTAACTATGTGCCAGGTACTGTTCAAAGTGCTTTATGATAGTTATTTGATAGATACCACTGCAAGAAAAATACAACACAGGCTGAAGTAAAAATGATGCAATTAAGTGATAATGGGGACAAACGGATGAAAAGGGTGAAGAGAGCACAGAAAAAGAGGATGCTTCACGTACTGAACAGGTTCTGAAATCTAAGTGTTAGACAAAGTCTCCACTGATAGTCTAACATGTTATTGTATGAATTCATGAGAAATTTATGATCCCTGGGCTTCCTAATATTGTCTTGCAAGGGTCTTTGGCCTTTCTTTGCCACCAATTTACTGGTACTATTATTATTTTTGTGTTATAAGCTTTTAAAACTTAGTTTTACTATCTGTGTTTTATTGTGAGCTATCCATCTCAAATTATTTCCGGGAACAATACACATCCAAAAGATGAAAAAGGAAGGATCTCTATAGGCTCCATGAGAAAAGGATCACACATCCCCTTACAGAGAGCATCATACCACCTAAGGTAGGCACTAAGATTTAACAGCTCTTCAGTTTAAACTCTTAATTCCTGCCTCTTCTCTTTCGGTACAGAATAGCAGTAGATCCTGAATGCATCTTTGGCTCTATGAAGCTTTGGAGTTGGACTAAACAGCTCACCTGATTTCCAGGTTTGACCAGGCGTAGGGCAGCTTCAGCACAAAGGTGAGCTGCCTTAATGACATCTGCTTTCCGCCCTGTTACTTGGGTCCCCTGTAGAGGAGGAAATGTAGTCAGTGCCTTCCCAAAAAGCTGATCAGTTAATATCTGTGTGTCCATTATATATCCAGTGGTCAGCAGAGAAAACACCCTTTCCTCTTTGATTTCTCTGCTGCTGCTGCTGCTAAGTCGCTTCAGTCGTGTCTGACTCTGTGCGACTCCATAGATGGCAGCCCACCAGGCTCCCCCGTCCCTGGGATTCTCCAGGCAAGAACACTGGAGTGGGCTGCCATTTCCTTCTCCTTTGAGAGTCTAGAGACTCTCAAAACTTAATGTGGTGGTAGTAGGTGAGGATAAGAGGCAGTAGTGGGGGGCGGGGGGGGGGGGTGGACAGCAGCAGTGGGCCCTCCCCAGCCCCCCACTGGCTGAACAGAGTTCAAAGCAGTCCACCAACCTGAGCTACACCAACCACAAAAGTGTGAGCCACGTTAGCGATGAAGCCGTCCACGTGGACCCCAAGGTCGCTGAAAGGCAGAGCAGAGCCCAGTGTTAGCGACTGGCACGGCTGTGCGCGCTGAGGAAGGACGCGTGCTCTAAGACGGGTCAGGCTTACATTTTGACCAAGTCGCCCTCCTTGAGCACGTAGTCCTGGTCGCTCTTCAGCGGGGAGAAGTGACAGACACAGTTGTTCACCGAGATGCTAGTGGGAAAGGCGACGCCTGCGAAGAGACACAGCCTGACCGCCCGCTCATGCTCAGAGCCCTCCGGCCCCTCCGAAAAGTGGATGCGTTTTCTCCAGGGTCTTGTTTAAGTCTGATCAGTCCCCTTGCCATTCCACATTTCCAAATATCTCAATCAGTGCTGGGGTAAAGGTTGCATTATTACAATAAAACAAACAACACTCAATAAAGGTCAAACGTAGTTAATTAGTAGGGGATTGGTTTTTTACCTTTCTTCATTTCTTTTTCTTTTTTGAAAATCTTCCCTGTTTCTTCCATTATCATGGCATCACCTTTTTCACACAGGCTCAGTACCGACACACCTGAACAGGATGCTTCCACCAAAGACCGAAGTACCCCTGGGAACAGAATCCCATATATCAGTCCTGAATGTGTTGTCTAAGTTAACGTCCAAGAAACACCTAGAAGTTAGACTTAAGAGTTTCTGACACCATGGAATATTACTCAGCCATTAAAAAGAATTCATTTGAATCAGTTATAATGAGATGGATGAAACTGGAGCCCATTATACAGAGCGAAGTAAGCCAGAAAGATAAAGACCATTACAGTATACTAACACATATATATGGAATTTAGAAAGATGGTAATGATAACCCTATATGCAAAACAGAAAAAGAGACTCAGATGTATAGAACAGACTTGTGGACTCTGGGAGAAGGCGAGAGTGGGATGTTTCAAGAGAACAGCATCGAAACACGTATATTATCTAGGGTGAAACAGATCACCAGCCCAGGTTGGGTGCATGAGACAAGTGCTCGGGCCTGGTGCACTGGGAAGACCCAGAGGGATCGGGTGGAGACGGAGGTGGGAGGGGGGATCGGGATGGGGAATACATGTAAATCCATGGCTAATTCATTTCAATGTATGACAAAAACCACTGCAATGATGTAACGTAATTAGCCTCCAACTAATAAAAATAAATGGGAAAAAAAAAAAAAAGAGTTTCTGAGTCCAACTTAGAAGTACCACTGCTCTAAGGATAAAAAGAGGAATATGTTTTGCCTCTTAGAACGTACCTACCTGTCATCTCTATAAATCTCTACCTTTCTTTCCTGAACTTAAAAAAGCCAACACTCCCTTTCCTCCTTTATATAGTGAGACAGCACCACCTGTCTCCTAGGCAAGGGAGGCTTTCCAAAGATGATACCTGTGGTATGGTAGGGCAGATTTATGAACTTCAAGGGCATTCTCACCAAGATATCCAACATATGCAAAGCAGACTGGAGGAGATTTATAGGCTTCAGGGACAACAAAAAGGTAGACATACAATTGCTGACTCTAAGCTGATGTATTGTTAAATGCTACCTTCTTCCCTTCCCAGACACCCCAATTAGGGGGTGTTAGTAATCTCAATTTATGTAGACTTATTTCTTCAAATAACAAGTCAAGAAGACTTAACGTAGGTCCCTGGGCTTCAGCAAACTCTGCTTATAGCAGAGCTCAAAGTAGTATGTGACCCAAAAGAGTTTCAAGCTGGTACTGGGAATCACAGGTGCCTCAGAAGTCATAAACTGCAAGAAGGAAAATTTTTTTTCTGATTTAAAACACCATATATCCATTGTGTTACAAAGCATTTATTCAGCATTTGTTCACTGATACCCTCTCCATGGTCCATCCCGGACTTCAGATTTTATTTTTGTGATCCAAGTTTTGGTGATTTTTTTTTTTAAAGTCTGAAAAACTCAGATTTTCAGTCACAGGATCAAAAGCATCCTAAATGCCTATCTTTACTGTCAAAACCATTTAAAAGCCCAACGACAAGCATTTTGTGTCCCCCTAACTGGGTTTTAAATTGGAAAGAGAGAAAATAGCAAGCGAGACATCTGCAGAGAGTGCAGGCAGCTGCTGAGAAAGTCAAGAGCACAATCTTACTAAGGATGACTTCTGAGATTCTAACTTCAGACCCCCTTTAACAGCACTATTCACAGGTTTGACTGGCGGGGTGAGGAGGACCTCAAAACGATCCTAAAGTTGTGAAACACCTAAGACCAAATTAGACGACTAACTAAAGCCAACTCCGCAGATTGGAGGTACAATGAACAACTTCAAGAACAGTCAAACAAGAGTTATGGGGTGCTCTCTAACGGTCCCTGATCTGACCCTAGAGTAGAAGGCGGCCCCCATCAGGGAAGGAGCTGAAGTAAAGAACGAAAGACTACAGCAAAGCACGTGGTAGGCAAGCTGGTGTCAGGCACGTAGCGGAGGAAGGTAGCCGGCCAGCCGCAGGGGACCTGGCAACACGTGCCGGCCAGGCTCCTGCCGGCGGGGAGCCGCGACAAAATAGAAGCGCTTCCTTTTCGAAGTGGTCTCGCTGCCACCAATATCAGAGACAGAAAATGTGAACTGAAGCGTGAGTGGCAGAAGGTACACCTCGCCTTCTTACCAACGCCCTAGGGTCGGAGCTGGCCAGGGGCCCGGCTCTGCTCTTCTCCCAGCCGCCCTGCCGACCGTCCGCCAGCATCTCCAGAGACTCCAGCCCAGGCCCAGCCTCTCGGGTCCCAGGCGCGACACGGAGTCTCCCCACCACGCCACCTCCAGCAGACCTGAGCTGGGCCCTCACTAACCCACGCTGCGTGACCCCGCCGCTCCAGCCCTCAGGAGCCAACCCGTCACCGTCTCCCTTGGCTCTCCCTCCCAGCCTCGGCGCCCGGACCCTGAGGCCGCACTCACGGTTGGCGATGTCGCCCCCCATCTTATACTTGGTCACGACCAGGTCCTCGGCGATAGTTTGCTCCTGTTGCTCGTCCTCGCCCGACATCTTCCCACCGCCACCACCACTGCAGCCTCGTTTCTCTTGAGCCGCCGCCTCTGTCGCCCTTCTTAGCCACAAGCTGTGGTCAGAACCCCTTCGATCCGCGAGGAGACCGCGAGCAAAAGCGCGAGCAAGCTAGGGAACGGGAGGGCGGGCGAGAGAGAGAGAAACTGCGAACGCGCGGGCTGAGGCGCAGGGCACGCTGGGACAACGAGTCCCTCCTGCTGCCAGTCCCTAGCCGCCCTCGCGGACTACCGAACTACAATCCCCAGCATGCTTTTCGCGCCCCTAAGCCAGGCCCTGGGGCCTTGCCCTCCGAGGGCCTCGCACGCTGGAATCGCCGAGCACGCTGGGAAGGGTCAGGCTCCGGCGGGAAGGCGGAGCCGTTGGAAAGCACGAGGGGAAGCGTGGTTTCTCCAGGAAAAACCATATCCACCAGGAACGCCGAGCGATAACCCGTAACAGAGCGGGGCGGGGTGAGGGAGGAGGGGCGGAGCTACGGCAGGGAAATAGGTCTGGAGGCTGAGGGGCGGGGTGGAGCCGAGGCGAGTTGGGAGGATCGTTAATAAGGGTGGGGCGGTGGGGTACGCCCTTCCTTGAGTCCCTGGAGCTGCCGGCGAGACCGGCTGGGCCGGTCCTCAAGTCCTCAGGTGCTGGGAGAACCGGGAGGGGCAGAGCGGGTGTGGAAAGAGATAGGGAGTCCGGGAATCAGGGTCTGCTAGGGCAGCCAGACTTATGAGGGATTATCCCGATCTAGAAACCGGACTCCCACTGAAGGTGGCACTGTTGTTCTAACGACAGGCTTTGATGGCATCTAGGGGAGGTGTTCACAAGAGACTTTTTTTTAAAAGAGAATGAGTTTTAAAACATGAATTTCAGTATTTTACCTCTTAGGGCTTTTTCTAACTTCCCCGAACGTGTTCTTTGTTTTGTTATTCCCAGTTGGTTGCCCTATAGAGATTTCACAGTAAAACCCTTAAATGAAAAGGACTGTGCTCTATGCTTGTCTTAAGGGAATAAGGAAAAGTAGGAATGGAGACAGCGACATGGGGTCCAGTAGGATTGTCAAGAGACAGAAAGAAGAATCCACTGCTGAGGGACAGGGGAAAAGAGTGTTCTGTCTCATACACTTTGACAGGTTTTCATTTGACGGGCAGAAAGCTGCAAAACTTTGGCATTTTTATTCAGACGTATAAAAACAAAACAAAAAATTTCAGAGATAAAGATACCCCAGTTTCCCATCCAAAGGGACAGAGGTCTGAAGCTGTGTCCTCTTTCTATTCCTACTGGAAGCTTCCCACGACGAATGAGAATAGCTCCTGAAAGTGGCTCTTGGGACCCCTGTGAATCTGTCCCTTGGGTGGAGCTCATATACAGCACATGTAGGCTACGGTTTACACAGAGATATCCAGTTATTTTCCTTCTGACCACCCCCTTCCACTTCCTAGGATAAGAAGTCAGGGTGAAGGAGGAGGCTACAGTAATTGTTGGAGTTAGACTTGATTCAGTGCAAAAACAAGAAGACAATGCTCCTTACCAGGGCTCTGGCTTACATCAGTTTTCCTTGATACCTTATAGTAAGAGCTCGTGCATTGGAAGATTTTTAATCATGGACCTGCTACTTGATTTACTTAATCTCTCTAAGGCTCCTCTGTCCATTGGATTCTCCAGGCTAGAATACTGGAGTGGGTTGCCATTCCCTCCTCCAGGGGATCTACCCGACCCAGGGATCGAACCCGTGTCTCCTGTGTCTCCTGAATTGCAGGCGGATTCTTTACCCACTGAGCCATCAGGGAAGTCCCTCTTTAAGGCTCAGTTTCCTTATTTGTAAAATAGGATTATACCTAGGTCACAGAGTTGGTGTGAAGGATGAAGTGAGATATAATATAGGTAAAGTTTAGCAGAATGCTTGGCACATAGTAAACGCTCAATTAATAATAATCATTAATATCTACTCCCAACCTCTTTCTTCACTCCACAAGATTTCACTTCTCATTCTTTCTGCGGGGTTAAGGATCGTAAGCCAAAATTTTCCTTTCCCCTGCCAGGTTCCCCCCTTTCCTCTTCCTTTAAAGTCTAAAGGGAAATAAAGGCATACTTTAAAGCCTCGTGTCAACAAGTCAGAGTCTAAGAAAAAAGGACAGGAGTAATCCTTCATATCTCCAGGGAGTTCCCCTGAGGAAGCTGAGGAATGGGATTGGGAAAGCACACAAAATAGGGAAAACCATCTCCTTTCCTGGGATCAGGAAAGAGAAAAAGTGCACAGCTGGCTACATAACCAAAGAAATTTGTGTCAAAGTGTTTAAGGCCTCCAAACTTTGAATGGAATTGTCTAGGACTAGGAAATGGGGCTGAGACCTGTGAGGGAGAGAGACCAAGAAGAGAGTTACTCTCCAAAGGCACTAGCTGCCATCAAACACTCCCTGAGCACCTCAGCGAGCAGGGGTTATATTCTCTGGGCATTAGCTTTGGGGAAAAGCCTGCTATGCCAGTAATCAGGGTTGTCAAAGGCAGAGTCAGTGGCTTCTAAACTACGTAAAGTTTTGAGGCGGGCATAGTGGACCTGGGGACCGTGGAATACAGGCCCCTGGAAAGCTCTCATCTCTTCATACCCTTGCTCAGAGGCTGGGCAGGCGTCCATGGCCGCATAGTCCCCCCCAGGGCCTCCTCCACCGCGTCGCCGATTCATGTATTCGTAGTCCTCGTCTGGGGCTGTGCTGGCATTGGGCGTGTTGGGTGCAGGGTTGAGCGGGCAGCTCTGTGTGCTGCCCAGGGAGGCACTGAGGTCTGACCCCACATCCATGTACTCGTAACCCAGCTCCTCGAGGGAACTGGGCCTCGGGGGACGAGATGGGCTGCACCTTCTCCTCCGGTTCATGTATTCATATTCCTCATCGTCGTCATCTTCTGTACCCAGAACAGAACTGAGACCCACTGAAGAAAGAGTGCCTTCCCGGGAGGAGGTACCTAGGGGTAGAGAAGAGCGGCTAGGTACGTGGTATTCCTTCATGGTAATAGGCAGTGGGGAGTAGAAGGGTGTTAGGAAAAAATGAATAGGGAAGGATATGCTCAGAGAAGACAAAAGGATTAAGAGGAGCCTGCAGAAGGAGGATTAGAGAAAGATTTGAGGAAAGCACCACAGAATCAGGCACCTTTGATGTGTGCATCTGGCATGACATAGCCATTGACATCCTCTTCCTCTAAGCCTGGGGGGGACTGTGGGGTGACAGGAGTAAGCAGGCTGTGGCGCTGGGAATGGTAGGCGCTGTCCCCTCTTGGCCGCGGGCTCCGGCTCCGGCTTCTGCACATAGACACCTTCTCCTGGAGCTCAGCCTCGGAGCCTGTCACGTGGCCCTCCGATGATTCTGATGCCAGGCGTCCCCGTGGCACTGGGTGCAGAGAGGCTGGCCGGGGGTACCGTTCATTGCCTCCAAAAACTGCAGACTCCTAAGGAGGAGAGTGACCCATGGTGATTCACGCAGAAGCGAGGGAGAGGAACTCGTCTGGAAGAGCCTGGGCTGCCCGGCGCCTTCCGCTCTGCAGGGCCCTGGTCGAGCCAGAGGCCCCCAAAGCCCCACCGCTCCACCGACCCAAGGCGCTGCCCGCCGGCCTCTTGGTGTCCCCTTTGTGAACTTTTAAAAAATGTTTTACTTTATATTGGAGCCTAGTTGATTAATAATGTTATGTTAGTTTCAGGTGTACAACAAAGTTATATGTTCATCTATTCTTTTTCAAATTCTTTCCCCAACTAGGTTGTTACAGAATCTTGAAGCAGAGTTCTCTGCCGTATGCAGTAGATACTTGTTGGTTATCCATTTTAGATATAGCATCTTGGCCTCCTCTTAAACAGACCTTACCTGGCCAACCTCCCCAAGATTTCCCTGGTTCATAGGCATATATCCAGATGATGGACTTATAAGGCTCTGGCTCTAGGATGAGAAAAGTGAGGAAAAGGTTTAGATTAAGAGAGAAATCTGCTCACTACAGAGGCCTCTGAGTAATTAATATGGACATCTGCGGGTTCATGAGGGTGCAGGTGTGCAGATGGCTTATAAAGTCTTAGGAAACTGGAAAGTGTCTTACCCCACGTGGTCGATTAAGTGTTCCCACTGGCAGGCTAAGGGCAGAGCCTAGTGTGGTTGCCAGATTCTCCTCCTCTGCCTCCAGCTCCAGGTCCAGGTCTAGTTCTGGCTCCAGCTCTACTTCCTCCAGTTCCTTGTTTGTCAGAGGTGGGGGCTCTGCCCCAGGGGAAATTCCAGGCCCACTCTCTCTCTATGAGAGCAGGTGATTGTTAGGGTAGATCCTGGCTCCAGCCAAGTTCCCCTTTCTCTAGATCTCCTTGGTACCTCCAGGTCCCTACTCACCTTTATGACCAGATACCGTGGTGGGTCTCGGGCCATCCTGGTGAACTCATTGGCTAGTTCTTTAAAGGTTGGTCGAATGTTCTCATCAATCATCCAACCTGGGGATAAGATGTAGAAAGCAGAGCTATAAGAGGGGAGTGGAGTAGGGAGTAGGGAGGGAACTCACTTAGAAAATAGCTGATGCTATGTTCCCTCCCCTCGTCTTTGTGTGGAGAGCCTGATGTCCAACAGTATCACAATGTTTAATGTTTATTGGGCAGTGCTTAATGTGGAGAGTGCTTAATGTTTATTGGGCAGAGGCCATCTGGGGCATGCACTGCTGTTCTGGGTATTCACTTTTCATCACTGAGCATTGTTTATCTGTGCCCTTATTTTTCTTTTTTCTTCAGTTCAATGAAGCAATAATGAAGTAAAAAAAAAAAAGCTGAGATCAGCAGGTAACTCACACTTGACCATGACCATGTAGACATCAATGGTACAGATCTGGGGCTGTGCCAACCGCTCCCCCTTCTCCAGCAGGTCTGGTATTTCAGCCAGTCGCAGCCCTGCGTAGGGCTCTGCCCCAAAGGTCATCAGCTCCCAAACTGTCACTCCTGGTATAGGAAGACATGACTAGTTGATGGCAAAATAGTAGACATGGGCATGCGGATGAAGGGAAGGCAGAACTTGATCTGACCCAGGATCTGAAGGGCCTAGAGATTCTAAGAAAGGGTCTCAAAAGGCAACTTTGGAATTTGGGCTATCAGTATTATGGTGGGCATCCAGATGGACTGACCATAGCTCCAGACGTCACTCTGGTGTGTGTATTTCCCAAAATGGATACTCTCCAGGGCCATCCACTTAATTGGAGTCTGAGGGATTAAAGAGAAAGGCATTACCAACTGATTTCTACACATTGTCTTAGCATTTCTAAACCCAGGTTCTCCATTGTTCTTTCCTTTTTTGCTCCCTAAACTTTTATTTCTGGCGTCTCCAGGTTCCTCTCCTTGAACTGATGGAGAGCATCAGTTGGCCGGGTCTGATGGCCTCTGAAGGAGACCACAGAGCACACGCTCCCTTTCCCTTTCCTCAGCCCACGCCCACTCCTTACCCAGCCTCTGCACCACCTTACCTTGGCTTCACTGTACAGTAGCTGCTTATCATCAGGGGGCAGCAAGTCAGCAACCCCAAAATCTGCCACCTGAACCTGGCTGGGTGATTTCAGTAGCACATTTCGGGCAGCCAGGTTCCTGTGCACCATGCCATGTTCCTCAAGGTAGTACATTCCCTGTAGGGAAGGAAGTTTTCTCAAGGTTGGAGAAATGGGTTCTCAATTGAGCCCCAGAATCACCGCAAACCCTCAGGCACCTCTCAACACTTCCCGCCCCGGCCGCCCCGCAGGCCCGTAAGCAGTTCCACCTTTAAAGCCCCTGCAGGCTCCCCGCGCTCACTTTGGCAATCTGCACTCCCCAGTTGAGCAGCAGCTGAGGCCCCAGCGCGGCGCGGTGCTGCTTCACGTGGTCCAGCAGGGAGCCCAGAGGCAAGTACTGCGTGACGAGCTGCAGCGACGGCCCCGGACACAGCCCCAGCAGCCGCACAATGTGGGCGTGGTCGAGGCTGCCGATGGCCAGCATGTGCTAAAAGGCGCAACGGGGAGGGTCATCCTGGGGACAGACGGGCCCACACAGGCCCAGACCAGGGCTCCCCACCTTCAAGGACAGCTCTGTGGCTCACACAGGGCCTGCCGCACAAGACCGTGTTTCTACATAGTTGAGTCTGACGGCTATCCTCTCCTAGCGACACGCCGGACACTCAGCCTTCACTTACGTCCGTCACAGCTTGAAAGCTTTGCCGTCCGCTCTTGTCCTCAATGACTTTGATGCAGACTGGAATCTTGATTGACTCGCCCTCAGGAATCCACACACCCTGGGAAGTTTTGGGCAGGAGTCAGCCTAAGGTCATTCTCCCCAGGCTACTCCTTTCCCTGGATCTTTGTTTCCTTTTTCCAGTTTTATTGAGGTATAATTTACATATGCTACTGTATATGTTTAAGATGTACAGCATAATGACTTGACTTACATGTATCATGAAAAGATTATCACAATAAGTTTAGTGAATATCCATCATCTGAGAGAGACACAAACTTAAATAGAAGTTTCTTTCTTATGATGGGAAATCTTAACTTTTAAGAGGATTTACTTTCTTAACTACTTTCATATATAGCATACAGCAGTGTTAATTACATTTATCACATTTTACATCACTTGGTGGGCTTTCCCGGTGGCTCAGCGGTAAAAAATTTGTCTGTAACATAGGAGCTGCAGGAGATGCAGTTTCAGTCCCTGGGTCGGGAGATCCCCTGGAGAAGGGCATGGCAACCCGCTCCAGTGTTCTTGCCTGGAGAATCCCATGGACAGAGGAGCCTGTATGGGCTACACTCCACAGGGCAGCAAAGAGTTGGACACGACTGAGCCACTTCAGTTTCTTTCTTTTCTACCCCATCTCTACTTCTGGTAACCTCTAGTCTCTCCAGTCTGACCTCTTTTTTTCTGAGTTTGCTAGCTTTTGAAGTCCGACCTAGAACACTGTTAAAAGGTATGGGATGAAAAGCTCTCTCCCCAGTCTCTCCCCTCCTTGCCCTAGATCCTCCCCTCATCTCCCCACACTTCCTATGGGCCACTCACTTTGTGCACACTTCCGAAGATACCGGAGCCCAGCACTTTAAGCTTCCTCAGCTCCGTTTCTTTGAAGACTCGGGCCAAGACTTTGTTAGCCTTCTCACTGGGATCCAGAGGCTCTACACTCTGCAGAACAGACGGGAAGGAGGTACTCAGGAAAGCCCACTCCCATGTCCATCTCCAGCCCCCTCGCCACAGGTGCCTGCCAAGAGCAGCAAAGCCTGAAGGGGTGGGAACAGGAGGAGAAATGTCTCTAGTCTTAGAAAATGTTTCAGGCCTATTGGGGAATAACAGACCTTGAGGACTGAGGAAGTTGTGTTCATGAGATCAGGAATCAAGAGGGCTGGATTTTCCCTTTGATGGAGGGATAGGGGAGAGGGTTGGTAATACTATCACCTTGATTAACTTTTCAAACTTTGAATTTTTTATTTTATATTGGAGTATAGCCAATCAACAATGTTGTGATAGTTTCAAGTGAACAGCAAAGGAACTCAGCCATGCCTTGAGTACTTTTATACATTTTCTGTTCTTCAGAGCATTTTCACATACATCATCCTCTTTCACCCTTACAGCCATCTTGTAAGGATGTTATTGTTTCCTCTGTGTATGTGCATAAACTGACAGAGAAGGAAGGTAACTTCTTGAAAGTCATGTGGCAAATTAATGGCAGAATCAGGAGCCCCCCATTTCTCTGGGCAGAGTCCTTTCTGGTGGAACATACCACCTCCTTGAGGAAAGGGAAGGAAGAGGCTCTCCAAGGGTGATGGTACAGGGCACACTTCCCGGGTAAGACAGGCACTCACCTCACCCCGTTCCAGGTAGCGTCTCATTGCCCTCTTATTCTGAATCTGGCGTCCACGCAATAGAGAAAAGTGCTGCCCAGGATCAGGAAAATCACCGCCAACCCTACTACCAACGTTAAGGCCATTGCCAGATGGGTTTTGCTGTAGGACAGAGAAGCCCAGAATTATCCTGGGTCTGTGTTTCCCATACAAATGTCACTTATACCTGTACTAAATGTATAGTACAGATCTTGGGCAAGAAGTTAACATGCACATCTGCGTATATCCTTGAGCATAAAGGGGCTAACCTAAATCTCCACCCCAAGACTACTGCAAGTTGACTTTAGGAAGGAAGGCCAGAAACCTGGATTCCTGTGTCCCTGAGTCCCATGATTGTAGCCTATATATAGAAGGCCAGAATGAACAGACTCAACTCTTTGCAGGAAGTAACTGCCCTTCCCCAGATATCCCCAGCTCCCTAGACCTCTAAGCCCACCATACCTGATCAGTGGCAGCAGTTGGCCTAAACAGTCTTGTAGCTCTGGTCCCTTACACCTGGAGAAGAAAGTCAGCTCCTTAATGCGAGCTTGGGAGACTCCCAAGGGAGGCTTAATTCCAACAACCTCAACACATAACATTGTTTGAGACCCTTCCATGGCATCCAGTCCTGGAGCCCAAAGCATATCCCAAGACATGGCCCCCATCTCTGGCTCAGCACCCTCCCCGAGTCCCTCTTTTGAATGACACCCCCGAGTTAAGGCTATACCAAGCATCTCAAATTGTGTTGTCATTTTGAGCAGTTACTGAGTTTCCCTTTCTCCAGGGCTTTACTGCACAGCTGGGAGTGGTTCTTTCATCATAGTTCCTCTCTGGAAAGCTCTACTTTACCCCTAGTTCTGTGCTCCTACCCCTCTTCCAATACCCTTTTATCATCCCATCACTGACCCCTGGGTGCAGTTCTCATGACAGGGCCGGCATTCATTCTGGGTATCTGGGTACTTGTAGATGGGGCCCTTGGCACCGAGGACTCCAAAGGGGCAGCTGCTCACACAGTGGGGCCCGTCTCGAAAACTGGCACAGCGGGCACAGGCATCAGAGCCCTGAGCGGGAGAGAGCGGGTCAGGATCGACGCCACACGCCCAGCAAGAGCGCACCGACCACTCGGTTTCCTCCCGCCTCCCTGTGTCTGTCTAAGGCCTTGAACTTTGGCCACAGCGGTCCCTCTCTCCCACAAAGACCCTGGCGCTGCTACTGTACCGAGCCATTGCACGTGGCACTGCCCTCCATGGGCTGACATTCCGGGTGGCAAGAGAAACATTCAGCTTCACGGGCAAACTCACGAGGCTCCCTGGGTGGGGGGCGGGGGTAGAGAGAGGGGAGTCAAATCCAAGGCCTGACCTGCCCTGATCCCCAAAACCACAGGGCCTCCTACCTAATTCCCTCCAAGGCACATGCAGAAAGCTAGCTAAAGGCTTTCAGGTGCCACCTGAGCATCTTCCTCCCGTGGCCCCACCCCCCTACCCCTTCTCGACTCTCTTCCCTCACTGTACCCATTCAAGAAGTTGCAGTGGGTGACACAGACGCCTCCTCGGCTGTAGTTCTGGCAAGATAGGCACTGGCCAGGGCCTGGGCCCCAGCATCCTCCAGAGCACAGTGGATCACACACTTTGCCCTCAGCCACTGGAAAGGAGGGGCTGGGTTAGGAGGAGCCTGAGGTCTCCTAACAAGCCTTTTCCTCACTCTTGCTCATCACTGCTGCTGCTGCCAAGTTGTTTCAGTCGTGTCCGACTCTGTGCGACCCCACAGATGGTAGCCCACCAGGCTCCCCCATCCCTGGGATCCTCTAGGCAGGAACACTTGCTCATTACTGTTTCCAGCCTAATGTCCCCCTCTCCTTGGCTCCATCCCTCATCCGTTCTCCGACTTGCGGGCGGAGCAGTCCTTACACCCCTCTCCCACCTGACTCCCCCACCCATCTGTCCCGGGCCCTCTCCCTCACCGCATTCTCTGCGGGGCCGATTATGCTTGATGTCCAGCCTCTCTTCTGAAGGCCCGCGAAGCAGCCTGGTCCAGTTCAGGGCATGGTGGTAGCACAGCTGCCTGTTGGCGCTGATGTAGACGCGCCCAGCACTGATTTCTTTCAGGGATCGGAAGCCCAGAGACGTTACATTCAAGTTCTTCATGATCAACAGTGAGAAGCCCCGACTGTGAGCAAGGATACCAGATGAGAGGGGAGACCACAGAGGAAAAACGGACCAGGCTTTGGATTCGTCTTCCTTCAACAGATTTGCTCTGAACTAGTCACTGAGAGGGACTTCCCCTCCTGTAGCCTTTGCCCCATCAGACTCCCACTGTATAAGCATGCCTGCTAAGTCGCTCAGTCGTGTCCGACTCTGACCCCACGGACTATAGCCCACCAGGCTCCTCTGTCCATGGGATTCTCCAGGCAAGAAAGCTGGAGTAGTTTGCCATGCCCTAACAGGCTCTTCCCAACCCAGGGATCGAACCCACATGACATCTCTGTCTCCTGCATTGGCAGGCAAGTTCTTTACCGCTAGCGCCACCTGGGAAGCAGGTGTGAGACCAGACCTTATATTTCACTCAAGATGCCTAAGAAACAGAATTCTTTGCCTCCACACCCCGTACTCACTTGTAGAGGCTTCGGCCCCCAATGGTCGTCAGGTTTGAAAAGACACTGAAGTTGTGCATGTGGGGAGGCCAGGACTGGATGTTCAGGTAACCTGCAGGGATGGAAGAGGGCGTGTGATGGGGAGTCTCCCCCCTCCCCTTCTCAGCTGCTTGGGACATGGTCTTCTCAAGTGATGACACTGCAGTTTTTGCCCGTGGCTCATCTAGCGCTCTCAGAAAGGGCAGCCTCTTCCCCTCCCACTCACCCGTGATCTCCCGCACTGTCCGAAAGACATTGAGCTTCTCAGGGTCCAGAGCAGGGATCTTGTGCCAGGGGTCTCTGGAGAGAACAGTGAAGACCAGGCAACAGAGTAGAAGCATGACTTGGTAGCAGTAGGCATGCCTAGTCTCCAGATACCACTCTTCACTAGAGCCAGCTTGAGCGGGTCAAGAGTAACTGAACTGGTTAACTGGAATAATGATTCTAAGAGACTATGAAACATTGACTCAAGCCAGTATCACACAGATCAAACACACCAACACGTAAATAAACAGGAAAGAAAGGCTCTGCCCAATACCAGAATGCCAACAAATTGGCATCTATTTGTGAGGTATAGGAAGGCCTGGTGTGCTGCAGTCCATGGGGTCACAGAGAGTTGGCCACAACTTAGCAAGTTAGCCACACAACAACAATGGAGTTAGAAAAGCATCATCTGGCAATTCTCATAAAAACTGGTTCGGGGGACTTCCCTAGTGGTCCACTGGCTAAGACACCACACTTTCAATGCAGGAGGCCTGGGTGTGATCCCTGATCAGGGAACTAGATTCCACATGCCACAGCTAAGACCTGGCATAGCCCAATAAATATTTAAAACACAAAAAACTGCTTCAAGCAAGCACCTCCCCCGAAAATACTTAACTGAAAAGGGAAAATAACTTTAGAAAAGCTGGCAGACACCACCTTAACCAAATGACCAGAGGCATCATCACTAGTAGCGGGACAGATGATCATCACTCGCCTTCTTGACAGGATGCACTGAGACCACGTCTGTAGTGTTATCAGAAATGCCTAACTTGAGAGGGAGGGGGCACAGCTAAACCTGTGGCTGATTCATGCTAACGTTCGGTAGAAACCAACATAATTCTATAAAGCAATTATCCTTCAATTAAAAATAAATTTTAAAAAGAGATACAGATTTACAATTACAAAATAAGTCACAGGGAGGTAATATATAGCATAAGGAATATGGTTAATGTAATGATTTTGTTTGGGGACATGGTTACTAGACTTGTGCTGATATTATAGTGCATTTAAATGTCAAATCACTAGGCTGTACATCTGAAATTAATGTAATATTGTATATCAACTATATTTCAATAAAAAAGAATTATGTAAAAAAAAAAATGCCTAACTTGAATCTAAGTGTGAGGAAAACAGACAAACCCAAACTGAAGAACATTCCACCAATCACCTGACCTGTACTCATCAACAATGACAAGGACATGAAATGTTACAGATTAAAGGAGATAATGGGTGTGCATGTATGATCTGGGACATCAGTAAGACAATTGAAAGGGAAATCTGATTAACATCTGTAGATTAGATAGCATTTTGTATCAGTGCTAATTTCTTGATTTAAACAAACGTGCGGTGGTTAAGTAAGAAAATGTTCTTGTTTCCAAGGAACACAGACTGAAATGTCACTGGGGTGAGAGGACACCATGTCTGGAAATTTACCTTCAAGTGGTTCAGAGAAACAAGAGCGTATATAATGAGTGTGTGTGTGTGACGTGTGGAGAGAGAAATGACGAAGCATATGGTACACTGTTTGGAGAAGGCAATAGCAGCCCACTCCAGTACCCTTGCCTGGAAAATCCCATGGGCAGAGAAGCCTGGTGAGCTGCAGTCCATGGGGTCGCAAAGAGTGGGACACGACTGAGCGACTTCACTTTCCTTTCCTTTTTTTATGGTGCACTGGTAACGCTTGGGGGATCTGAATAAAGATTATGTGGAAAACCTTTGTGCCATTTTTTGCAACTTTAGATGTAACACTGTCCAAAGACAGGTGGTTCTCTCACGCACACTCACTGTAAATGCTGTCCCATGGACTGAAACGTGCCTTGCTCTCTGTGGCTCCATACAAGGAACAGAACTAGGTGAAACAGCTGGAAGTCATGGGGAGACAGATCTTTATCCAATTTAAGAACACTTAGAAACCTTTAAGGAGGAGGCCACTCCGTCCCTGTCCCTTGCCATTCAGGTGGCTGGGCTGCTCAGGGGTGTCTGCGGGGATTCAAGCCCTGGGGAATTAAGCACTGTCCGGTCCTTTGTGACCACTAAGATTTTATGATCTAACTTCCTGATCAGCTCCACGTACGAAGGCTTGAACCAGTGCAATGAACTGTGAGAGGGCTGATGGGGTGGGGGATCAGAGGAATCTCTCACCCATTGAGGCCAGTGATAAGAAAGTCCAGGTTGCCCAGGATCTTGGTGCAGTTCACGAATCCATCAATGTTGCTCGAGTCCACAGTCTGGAAGCGACTCCCAGAGCCCGTCCCCTCACAGGCTGCAAACACAAGAGGCTTAGTGTGGGGATGAGGGGTCGGGGCTGCGTAGTCTCAGGGGAAAGGGTGTCTCTTCACCAACTCCTTTCCACCTCGTACTCACCTTTCGGGCACAGACCCCCACAAGGTTCACACATCTTGAGTCCATTTTTATCTACTTCCATCTTGTCAGGAGGACAGGCCCTGACACAAGACGTCTGATCCACCACAAAGTTATCTAGGAAAGAGGAAAGGGATGAGGGAAGGACACTGCCAACAACCAGCTGAACCTCCTCCCTCCTCACCTGCAAGGGTTTGCTCCAGCTGACCACCCGAGGTTCCGTAAGTGCTGTCTCATGGATTAGAAAGGCCCTCTGCTCTTTGGATCCAAAAAGCAGAACTAGGAGCAACTGGTGGAAGTCATGGGGACGCAGATGGGGGAATAGGACATAGGGGCCATTTGTTAAGGGTGACGATCACAACCCATTGCCCTTCACACTCTCAATTAACCTCCCAACTTGACCCATTTCACCTCCTAAAATTGCATCTAGGGAATTTCCTGGCAGTATAGTGATTAGGACTCCGTGCTTTGACTGCTGAAGGCTCGAGTTCGATCCCTAGTCAGGCACATGGCCAAAAAAAAAGAAAAAATTTCATCTAAAACCCTGGTTCATATGTGGGAAGAAGCACAAATTGAGGGGTAGGATGTGCTTACCCCTGGGGTAAGATGTGTAGCAGGAACCAGTCTGGCAACATGGCCAGGAGTGCCACTCAAAATATCACCATTGACTTAAAGTTTTATTTAGCCTTCATTTATACCCTTGAAGTTGATAAAGTCTTGCATTTTATTAGTGAAGTTGGAAGATGTATCATTTGTTTGTTGTTCTGTCCCCTCCCCCAATATTAAACGTGAAATTTGATTTGTTTAAACTCTGGATGAATCATAGCTTACTTTGCATGTCCGGCTAATTTGCTTCTATACATTTTCTTTGATTCTCTTTCTCCTTCTCTCAGGGTTTTTACTGAATATAGATATGTGTGTGTGTGTGTGTGTGTGTGTGTGTGTGTGTATAGATACATAAATAGATAGATCTTCTTAAAAGTTTTTTGAGGTGCAAGTTTCTCTGTTTTGTTCTTCTCTGTGGTTTATGTACATGATGCTGAGATTCAATCACTACATAAAACTCCCGGCTGTGAAAACAAAACAAAAAACCCAAAGGACTGTTTTTTCCACCAGCTCCGGGGAAGCTATGTGTCAGTCGGATGCTGGTTTCAGAAAGATTCACTCTTCCTTCCATTCTCTGTTCCTCTTTCCTCTAGAAAGAAGCTGATCCTAGTGATTTCAGCCCATGCATTAAACAAAATAATAAATGTGTGGAATTCATATTTTTCTAAAGGGAACTTAAAAACTGCTGCTACATGTTATATACAAAATTGCTTTACACCACACGAACAGAGAATCCCAAGTTCAGTTTTGGTACTTTCCTTCCTCTTTCTTTTCAGTCATACAGTACCTCCAAATTCAAAATGAGAAGAAAAGCTGTTCTGTATCATACCATCTATGCTGTAAATGTTATATTTTAAAAACAGCAGGTCGCTGGTCACACACACACTAATAAGATAAGATAAATAAAATCCTGTCAGGGACTTCCTTGGTGGTCCAGTGGTTAAGAATCCGTGCTTCCAGTGTAAGGGGCATGGGTTCAATCCCTGTTCGGGGAATGAAGATCCCACATGCTGTGAAGTGTGGCAAAAACAATATTAAAAAAAAAAATAAAATGGGTAGGACTTCCCTGGTGGCACAGTGGAAGAGAACCTGCCTGCCGGTCCAGGAGACACAGGTTCAATTCCCGGTCTGGGAAGATCCCACGTGCAGTGAAGCAAAAGTCTACTGCCACAACTCCTGAGCCTGGGCTCTAGAGCCCACGAGCCGCAGCTGCTGAAGCCTTTACGCCCACAGCCCGTGCTCCTCGGCAAGAGGAGCTGCACCATGAGAGGCCCACACATCGCAGCTAAGACCCCGGTTCACCGTAAACAGAGGAAGCCCGCGCAAAGCAACCAAGACCCAGCGCTACCACACACATCAATAAATGTTTGTAAAAAAAATGACTGAAAGACTAAAATCCTGGTTCTGCTACCATCGTTCCTTCCCTTCAGACACTTACGGGGGCAGCTGGCTACACACACTCCTCCATACTGATACTTGGTATGGGGATTGGGTTCCAACTGGAACGTGAGCTTGTTGTAGACGAGAGGCTGTGGACACTGGCGTACACAGGCCCCGCTGTCATTGAAGAGCCGGCAGGCCTGGGAACACAGAAGGCTTATGAGACTCACGTTACATGTGCACCCGACTTCCCCCCCAAGGCCCAGGTCCCACTTTAGAAGTCGGGGGGCGGCGGCGGCACGTACGAAGCAGTCTGTGTTCTGAGGGCCCGAGCAGCCGCCCGCACACTCGTCATGGCAGCACTGGTTGGGGTTGGGCCCAAAGCAGTGACCGTTACACTGGGGGGCACAGATGGTCTTGGTCACTGTGGGAGGAGAGGAAGCACAGCTGTCAGCGCTTCCGCGACTGTGTTCTGAGGCTCTCCCTCACCCTCTTGCCCTCTGGGCTCATCATCCCCACCCCCCCGGCACAGTTGGGGTGGAAAAGGATGAGAAAGTGTCCACGAGTCTGAAGTTTTTAAAATGAAGTTAGACCCACGTGTCTGGCAGTCTTCTGGCCCAGGACCCCAGCATCGCCCCTTGCAGGCCTCATGACAGGGGGGACCTGGTTGGGAGGGAAAGAGGCCGTCAAAAAGGCTTGCTCAAATCAACAGGGGATGATGTCAGCACACAGGCACCCGGTCCCGGGCAGCGAGGAGCCAGGGCGGCGCCCCTCCTTGCCCGCGCAGAGCAGGGCTGGGCTCCAGTGAACCTGTCAGCGCGGGGCGGAGCCGCGCCCCCACACCACCCACGGGGCAGCTGAGGGCAGGGCCCGGGCCGTCCCAAGCCAGGGGTTTGGTTCTTCGTGGCTGACTGAGCTCAGCAGGAATACGCGCGAGTGAGAGGACAGGCAGTGGCAGCCTGCAGCCGGGGGCAGGTGGGCTCCGAGAAGGGGCGTGCTGGCGCTGGGGGCCAGACCTGGCTTCTCACGCCGCACGCAGCTCCCCAGCCCCTTTCCCTGGCACCCTGCCTCTGCAGTTCCGGCTCCAGGCGACCGACCTGCATCCTCCTGGCAAGCTCCTTGGGTGAGAGCCTGCGGTTTGTTCAAGGGAGACTGGGTTCGGATTAAGGACACGCTGAGGAGCACAAAGGAGTCGCTCCGGCCGGCTGGGGGGCAGGCTCGATCCCGGCCACTCACAGGTCTTGCCGTTGTTCTTCACCACGATCTCAGCGTCCCGGTCCCGCACGATGTCCCTCCAGTCGATTGTGTCCATGTGACAGAGTTTCTCGTTCTTCTCAATGTAAACACCCCCTGACAGAATCTCTGAGGTAGGGAAGACCAGTGCCAGGGTCAAGGGCTAGTCAGGGGAGTCCGCCCCGCCCCCGTCCCCACCAGCTTGAGAGGCCACCCCAGTCAGGAGCGGGAGAGGTGGGGCAGACAGATACATCCAATTAAGTCCAAACTGCAGACGCCGTGCAGGAGGAGGAGCCGGGCTGAAAGAAAGCCCAGCCTCCTCAGACACCTGTCCAGATCCGGTTGAGCCAGAGGGGGAGGGGAGGGGAAGGAGAGAGGAGCCCTGACTGAAGCCCGCACCCACACCCCCGCGGGCCGACCGGCCTGTTTTTCAGCTGACTGGGACAGGGAGAATTTCAGCACCCAGCCTGAGCCCGCGGGCTTGGGGGGGCTGGTTCTTGGGGTTGGGGGGGTTCCCATTCCCAGAGAAGGAGGGACATTAAGGTACTGTCCTGGAGTCAGAGGACTGGGTAACAGCCCTGGCTCCAACTCCAGCCCCACCAAGACGCGAAGACCCTGCCCCGGGGGGGCAGTGAGGGCTGTCTCTGTTGTTCAAGGAGGAGTGGACCTTGACACCTCGTGGTCAGGGTGGCGGGCGCCCTGAACGGGGCGCTTAGAGGGAGCGGTCTGGGGTCACGGTCAAGGAGGCACCTGTCAGCAGGTGGGCTGAGGGCAGGCCTGGAAGGAATCGCCGGGAACTGACCGGTGAGCTGAGTCAGGCGGAGCTGGCGCAGAGCGTGGCTAGAGTTGGTGTTGTAGTTTAACATGACAAAGATGGCAAACTTCCCATCGTAGACCTGGGTCCCCCGCACCACTCGGAGGTTGGGCAGTGGCAGTGTAGAGAACTCGTTCATGGCCACGAGGACATAGCCGGTCACTTCTCGGATCCACTGTGACGGAACAGATTGCGTCAGTGGGAGGGACAAGAAATGGGGCCAGAAGTCTCAGTCTCCTTTCCCTCCCTAAGGCACTGAGGAACCTCTAACTCCTCTAATTCTTTCCAAGTCCTGCTTTGGAGTAGGGAATAGCAGGTGCCACATGACTTCTACAAGCGAAGATGGGCTGAAGAAATGATTGAGAAATTCTAGGCTCCAGGCCTTTCCTTCCAAGGGCCAGGGCGGTCGTTGCTTCTCCCTGCCTCACCTCCCCAGGTGCCTCCCAGTCCCTGGTGTAGCATCTACCCCATGCCTGCCCCTTCCCGTGGCCAGCCCTTCTGTATCCCCAGCTGCAGCCACCAGTCCACAGGGCCTGGATTCTAATCACTGCCCCTGTTTACACAGGCTTGGATCTTAGAAACCATTGAGTTTTAGGAATGCTGAACGCCAGCTCCAGCACAGGGTAACCCCGAGGACAGGAAACAGGCTTCAATAGTGAGGACAAGGGGGGAAACGCTGAGATAGAAGGTCAGCGCTCTAACCTGCAGAAAGGAGAGGTCAGCGTTGTGTCCCGTGAGCACGATCTCCAGGTTCCCCATCACTACCTCACACTTCTCATAGAGCTTGTGCAGCGTCTGGTATTGGTTCTCAGCATCGCCAGTCACGCTCAGCCCGTTCAGAGTCCCAGGGCACACTGTTCCAAGTGGAGGGGAGCGTGGCAGGGGCTGGACGTACGTCTCCAGCCCCCTCCCCCCAAGACCACCCCCTCGCCGCCCTCCTCGAGTAACACTCAACATGACCGGAAGGCCGCTGCCCCCCACCCTCAACCCTGCAGGCAGACACCAAGGCTGAACTGAGAGCTTTAACTTCCTCTTTTCCCCAAATCCCTTCATATCCCCCTGAACAGCAAGGTGAGAAGACTTCCTTCTCCCACCTGGGCCTCCCCTGGCCTCTTTTCGGTACTACTTTGGGTGCTGAGGAGTTAATCAAGGAGGATGTGGGGTTGTTTTCCCCTCCCTAAGAAGAAGTTAGAAATGGACCACAACTTGGTTACCCTCCTCTTCCCCGCCCCCACGCCAACCGGGCACTTCTCTACCCCCATCCTGCCTCTCTAGGTCCTGGAATAAATATCTCTTTGGGGCAGCACACAGCCCCTATTGTGTCTAGGGAGGGTGGGATGGGGGCAGAGGGTGGGGGCAGTGCCTGGGGCCACAGTCCGGCCCACAATGAGGCAATTCTATCTCAGAGGAGGGGGCCGGGCCGCTCCACCCTGTCCCCAGACACCCTGTCCTCAGCAGCAAGCCCCCTCCACCCTCAAGCCTTGGGTTCCGACCGGTGACCTCACTAGCGGGGGGCCTCTGGTGGTGGTGGTGATGGCGGTAGTGGGGGTCAATGTAAGCTTTGTCTTTCAAGCTGGAAGACAGGGAACGGGTTGCCTAGCCCGCACCCCCTCCCTAAACTCTGGCTTCCCTCTCACTCCTTTCCTCATCCCCACACATGCCAGCTCCCTCCACATCACACTTTCCAGCCCTAGAGTATTTTTCAGCAAATACAGAGAAGTTGGATGAAAACAGCAGTCTCAGCCTTCTGCCCGACTTCATTGTCAAGGAGATTCATTAAGAAGTCTTCCAACATCACTCACTCACTCAATCCTCACTCGCTGTCAGTCTTGGAGGTTCGCTTTACTTTGTGAGTGTGGAGGAGGACACGGGGGCTTCTGGGCAATCTTGGACCCTGAAGCCCTGCCCTGTCTCTCCCCTGGCTGGTGAAGGGCTGCGGGGGAACGGGTAGATAGCACCTGTTCCCGCCACCCTTCCCTGAGGCGCTGGCAGCCTAGTGGGAGGCAGGAGTGGGGACGGAGGGAGGGAGGTGGCTGAGGCCCCAGCGCCTCCTCCTGAATGCATCCCTAGTCTGACCTGTGAGGGGCTCCTATTCCCCATCAGTCCCCGCGGAAGAAGAAGGGTGAGCTAGCCCCGGCCGGCCGAGGAGTAACAGACAAGAGCTCCCGGAGGCGCCCGGGTCGAAAAGAAAACCACTAGAAGGTGGTTGCTTCTGCAGCAGCCCCGCCCCAACGCCCTTCTTGGCAGGACACCCCCTCTTCCAAGTCAGGGAGCCAACCTTTCTCCCCAGATAAAGGAGGGACCAAGATTTCAGGGCAGGGAGGCGGGGTGTGTGTGTGCCCACGCACACACACCCGCACGCAGACACGTCCACGGCTCCCCTGCTGGCCCAGAAGTCCCCAGGGCTCCGTCCTCGGGCTCCTAGGGAGGAAGGAGCCCTCCCTGGCCCCAGCCCGCCCACCTGCCCGCAGGTGTTCGTGCAGACTTCGGGTCGAGCTGGGGAGACTACAGTGTGAGAGGTCCCGGTTCCCTGCCACCCTGAGGGTAAAGTCCATATTACACAAACGAGAGCAAAGGGCTGGGCGGGAAACTATGAACAACACCTCTGAGGAGGAACAGGCATCCAGGGGAGGAGCGGCGGGGGAGGGGACTTCAAAAGTCCCCGCACTACCCAGCGACCAGGGCCTGGAGGGCCAGTGTCACAGGCTCCCCTTTGGGAGAGAGCACTGGGGTGGGTCGGAACAAGAATCTCCAGCCCCTCCTCAACCAGAGGCCTTCTCCCCCAAGTCCCCCGCCCCCATCACCGCCAGGACAAAGGGGCTATAGAAGGACTGAGACGGGGCCGGATGCCCAGAGGCTGCAGGCGCCAGATAAAGGGTGAAGAGACCCAACCATGCCTGCCTCCTGTCTCCCTCAGGGAAGGCGGCCAGGATCTGGGACTCCTGGGTTCCCGGCTGAAGATTCCAGGGGCGTGAGCGGGACAGTGAGACGGTCACTTTACTCCATCTCTCCCACTCCAATCCCCAGACCCCCCGCCCTCCACCAGCTGGGAGTGTTCACATCCCAAGATCCCAGGGTCTAAATTTAGGCCCAGCAACTGTGAGGGAAGCACAGGTGTTTCTCCCACTCCCACCCTGGGGAAGGGGCCCTGACGGTGCCAAACCCCAAGCTGAGATCTGGGGGAGGGGAGGAAATCAACACAACTCCTCCAGAGCCAGCAGCCCCGGCGCCCCTCAGGTGTCCACGGTCCCAGAGACCCCCCAAAGAGGTGGGCTCGGCTGGCATGGGAGTGGGAGGAGGAACAGAGCGGTGATCTGACTGGTCTAGACGGCTGGAGACTGCCAGACAATAAACAGAATGGGAGTGGGGGTGAAGCTGGGTCTGAGAAGGACCCCCCCCCCCAAGGACAGGGGGCTCAGAAGACAGGACAGGTGCACTGTCAGCCCTCAAGTTGGGGAGAGAAAAGACAGAGATATAGCGGCTGGAAGTCCTTAATCCCATACATAGCTCGTGGTCCTGGGCTCTGTACATAGTAGATGCTCAGTAAACATTGGTTAAATTGATCTGGGGTTTAACAAAAAAAGTTTGGTCCAGTGGGGGACCAGCAAACTTTATTATTTCGAGAGAACGAGGGCAGTCAGCCTCGGCGTGGCCTCTCCCCCTGGTCACCTGGACTTAGCCCCCAGGTTAATCTCCACTGTCCCCAGGGCAGGCCCACTCACGGAAGGGGCGGTGCCACTCTTGTTTTCCAACACTAGACAACAACAACCTCCCCCCCTTCCACAGCTCCGCCCTGTCGGCAAAACAACGAAACTGGAGCGTGCTGAGCCCCAGGGGCCAAGGCGGTCTGGAGCAAATCAAGACCCCCACCTCCGTGTCCCGCTTCCTCCAAGATCTCCACCTCCAATCACCCCCTCACGTTACAGAACGGAGGTCCTCGCTCCCATCCCTGCAGGGCCCCCTCAGAAGTGTGAATGGTTTCAGCATCCGCCGGAGAGTCAAATCCGAGGGTCTGCGATGAGCCCAGGAGGCGGTGGCCGGGCGGCAGGTCCCGGAATCGCGTCCCCGCCCGGACCACGCCGAGAACCCGATCCTGACGGTCCCGGGCCCAGGGGGTCCCAGCCGGCCGTGGCTTCGCACGCCAGCCTCGCGCAGCCCAAGCTCCTGCCGCTGGCCTCCGGCACCCCACGAATCCGGTTCGGAATCCCGGGTTCCGAGCCCGCTCGGGCTCCCGCGCCGCTTACCTGCCTGCGAGTTGCCCACCTCGGAGCCCCGGGCCAGGCTGAGGAGGAAGCCCAGCACCTGCAGAGCCTGGCTCACTCTCATGACTCCAGCGGAAGGTGCGGGGCGCCCAGCCCAGGCCGGCCGGGAAGGGCGCTGGACTAGGGCATCGAAGCGGGGCCACCTGAGCCGCCAGCGACCCGGCAGCGGCGGCAGAGGAGGCTGCGAAGTGCACCCGGAGCCGGAGCCCGGGGCGGGGTGGCAGGGGCGGAGTGGAGTCTGCGAGGGAGCGCGGCGCGGAGCGCAGGGGGAGGGGGTGAGCCTCGGCCGCGCCCCCTCGGGCGCGAGGCTGGAGCAGCGATTGCCGGAGCTTCGGCGGCCCGCCCCGAGCCCGCGCGCCCCACGCCCCGTGCCCGGCAGCTTGGCCGCGCAGATCCCAAACGGCTCTCGCCCTAATTATTCTGCCGGAGTCCAAGATTCCGAACGCCCCCAAATACTTCCAGAGGAGAAAGGTAATGGGGGTGGTGAGAGAACGCTCCAAAGCCCGACCCCCTGCGAGTTGGCCTCGCCCACTTAACCAAATCACCCAACTCCCCTAGCCGGTTGGGTCACTTGGGGGAGTTTCTGTCTCACTGTGTCTGCCTGTGTGTGTGTTTTTGAGGGGGGAGGGTGTTTTTGTCGGCCACTCAGGCCACCTCAGTCTCCCCGGAAACCCCCTGGAGACCCCATAACTCATCCGCCCTGCCGAGGAACCCGAGCCCCGGAGGCCGCGTGAAATCGCACTGTCTCCGGCCGCGTCCTCCTCCAGACCCGGCGCCGGCCCGGCCTCTCCCGGGGATTTGGTGGGGGGCGGGGGCGGCTTCCAGCCTGGGAACAGACCCCTAAGCCCGCCTTTTCACTTCCCCCCGGGAGGCGCCCCCGCACCTGTCGCCGTCCCCTCTGCTGCCCCCCACGGCCGCCTGGGAGAACAGCTGCCCCCCTCGCAAGCCGGAGTCGGACCGCGCCGTCGGGGCGGCCACCGTTCCCACCACAGGCGCTCGCTTTCCCAGGCCTTCCGGGCCTGGGGTCTTCCTGGAAAGGGGGAGGAGGGGGACGCGGAGAGGGCCCTAGAGACTGCGTCCCCGAAAGGCATGCGCCCAGGGCACCAGCTCCCGGATCCTAGCCGGAGGCGCTGCTGACCACCACAAGGGGATGCCCCAAGCCCAGGCCGGCACCAGGTGGGTCGGATGGGCGCTTCCTGGTGCCCAGCCGGCGGCAGGGAGGCCTCACGCGGTGTGCATTCCGGATCTTGCGCCGAGAGCCTAATCATTTCCCCAGAGTTTCAAGCCTGAAGACTTCAAGAACAGTTGAGCTTTGAATAAGAAAAATTCCACCTCTCACTCTGAGCCAAGAGTACTGGCTAAAATTCTTTCAACTTACTTTGCATCCTGGAGGGCCTGTTCTGTGGTTGGAGGCTACCTTTGCCCTCTGAGTGTTGACCTTGCCCTGACCACTTAATTAACAGCCATGATAGTAATAGAAACATTAACATATACGTTCATATACAAGATCGTTTGCAAGCACTTTCTCAAACTTGGAGAATGTTTCACTTAATATAAAAACTATGTGAATTAGGTGACATCACTCTGTTTTACAGAACTGGAAATGTGGGACTACTCCAAGATCATCCACCCAGTGACACTGCTCACTCAGATGATCAGGTGATCAGAAGCAGGGGCTCAGGTTTTGCCTAGGACTTCTTGGGTTACCCGCTCTAGACTGGAGCTTCATCTGCTCAGAATCAAACTCCTATCAGATAATTGAGCTATTACTACTTGAGGGGCCTTTCACTTTATCACTCATGCATTTCGACCTAATGTTCAAGGCTCTCATTTCAGGAGGAACCCCTCCCTAGTTTGTTTGTAGAGCAGTCATATTTATTAAAGGTTGTTGTCTGTATTTACTAAGAAAAGGCAGAGAGATCTTCATTACTGAGTGCTAGCTGTATTTCTTATTATTATCACCAACCCTAATCCTTCCCTCCCCAACTAGACATCCAGGTGTGCTTGCTGGTATTCATTCTTCAATACGTTGTGCTAAATATCAGGGATGTAAGCACTGGAAATATCTGACAAGTAAGGGGCCATCTCTGTTGCATGCTATGCTGACCCAATAAATGAACAAATGGAGACTTTATTTACCAACACTCTCTGCAGTTGGCAGTTATCCAGCATCCCTTTATTTTTCTTTACTCTTAGCTGATAACTTTGGTTCTTATTTTACTGTGAAAGAAATCAAAAGAAAACATCCTTAGGACTTCCCGGTGGTCCAAGGAAGCACCCACCTTCCAATACAGGGGACACAGTTTCAATTGCCTGGTCAGGGAGCTAAGATCCCACATGCCACAATATTTAAAAAAAATAGTAATAATGATAAAGGACTTCCTGGTGGTCCAGTGGTTAAGAATCTGCTTGCCAATGCAGGGAACACAGGTTTGATCCCTGGCCCGGGAAGATTCCACATGACTCAAAGCAACTGAACCCTTGCCCCACAACTGCTGTGAGTCCTCATGTTCTAGAGCCTGTGCTCAAAAGAAGCCACTGCAATGAGAAACCAGTGCGTTGCACCTGGAGGAGCCCAGCTCACCACAGCTAGAGACGGCCTGCGTGAAGCAACAAGACCCAGCACTGACAAAAATAAGTAAATAAAATTTTAAAAGGGGAAAAAAAAGGAAAACATCCTTATCTACCAGCAGCCTGGCCAATTTACCTTCATCCTCGCTTAGGTACTCCGACTTCCGTCATATTAAAAGAATTGTCTTTATTGTTAGCTAAGGCAGCCGTCAGGTGAAGAACTCCACCTGCAGTGCAGGAGACTGGGGTTTGATCCCTGTGGCGGGAAGATCCCCCAGAGAGGGGAATGGCTACCCACTCCAGTACTCTTGCCTGGAGAATTCCATGGACAGAGGAGCCTGGTGGGCTACAGTCCGTGGGGTCACAAAGAGTCGGACACAGCTAAGCATACAGCTCAAGCCAGCTGTCACCCTCCCGTTCCTGTCCCTCACCCCTGCCCCCTTGTTCTTGTTCTGTCTTCTTGTCTTTCTCCTGTATTAGCGATAGTTCTCTCTACTGGATAAATTTTTATTTTTTCAATTTGGCTATCTCCTGTGTTAGCTGCAGCATGCTAGGGCTGGAGGCACTTGGTCTAAGTTGTCCTGCCCTGGAATCTTAGTTCCCCAACCAGGGATCCAGCCTGTGTCCCCTGCATTGCAAGGAGGGTTCTTGCCCGCTGGACCACCAGAGAAGCCCAAAAGGGGCATTCTTTAAAGTTATTTTTTAGGAGAGAAAACTTCAGAGGAGGTATTTTACATACAGAATCCTTTGAACTGGACCTTGTCAAAAAATACCTAGTAGAGGTAAAAGCTATATGCCACGTACGTTTCACTTAACATAAAGCCTTGGCAAGAGTAATTGATGCAGAAAGAAACAAATAAAACCCCACATACAAAATTACAACCAATAAGAACATTAAAAAGATTTCTGGGGGCTTCCCCGGGGGTCCAGTGGTTAAGAATCCACTTTCCAATGCAAGGAACATGAGTTAAATCCCTGATTGGGGAACTAAGATCCCATTGGATGTCAGGCAGCTAAGTTCACACGGCACAACTAGAGAAGCCCAGGCGCTGCAACAGAGACCCAGTACAACCAAAACAAACAAAAAAGCCTGCACAATTCTTTTTCTGGTTTCTGAAAAGCTTGCATAAAAGCAGCAAGAAACTGTTTTTGAAGGTCAGTAGAACATATCTGTAAAATCACCTGGGTCAAAAGTTTTGGTAGGAGAGTCTTTTAAAATTTTTAAAAAAATATTTCTTTATCTGGCTTTGATGGGTCTTAGTTGCCGCAAGGCAGGATCCTCAATCTTTGTACACCAGGCAAGATATTTGTTGTGGCTTGCAAACTCTTAGTAGCAACATGTGGGATCTAGTTCCCTAAACCAGGGATCGAACCTGGGGCCCCTGTATTGGGAGCACAAAGTCTTAGCCAAGGCACCACTGGGGAAGTCCCAGTGAAAGTCTTTGATTAACATTGTATTTATTTATTTTTAGAATCTGTTTGTTTGTTTATGGTCTCTCTGGGCCTTCTGCAGTGAAAGCATGGAGTCCTAACCACTGGCTGGCAAGGGAAGTCCATTTTGCTATTTGTATTTTCCCAGAAATGTATACATTTTGTCTAGGCTTATAAGTCCATTAGTGTACGGTTGTTAATACTATTGTGCTGTTTTATTTCATTTTTGGCCACACGGCACATGAAACTTTACCCCAACCAGGGATGGAACTATCGCCCCCTGCGGAGGAAGCACAGAGTTTTCAGCACTAGACCGCCAGAGAAGTCCAATATTTTTATTAAAAAAAAAAAAAAATCTGTTGAGGGAGCTTCTGAGTTGGGGAACATGTGGAAATGCAGGGACAATGGTACTTGGAAAGGGGATGGAAACTCCCACATACTTTGCCCTTTACATCTCTTCCATTAGGCTGTTCCCTGCGTTGTATCCTTTTATAATAAACCAATAATCTAGTGAATAAAATTTTTAAAACTGTTGTGTCAAAATAAGTTCCTAATGGCTTAAAGACTTAAACATAAGATATAACACTATAAAACTCCTAGAAGAAAACACAGGCAAAGCATTCTCTGACATAAAGTTACCAATGTTTTCTTAGCTTAGTCTCCCAAGGGAATACAAATAAAGCCAAAAATAAACAAATTGTACCTAGTCAAACTCATAACCTTTTGCACAGCAAAGGAAATCATAAACAAAAGAAAAAGACAACCTACAGACTGAGAGAAACACTTGCAAATGATGCTACCGACATGGGCTTAATTTCCAAAATATACCAACAGCTCTTATAATTCAATAACAAACAACCCCATCAGAAAATGGGCAGAAGATCTAATTTTTTTTGGCCACACCACATGGCTTGTAGTCCTAAACACTGGACTGCCAGGGAATTCCCCAGAAGACCCAAATAGACATTTCTCCAAAGAAAACATGTAGATGGCCAATAGGCACATGAAAAAATGCTCATCACTGCTAATTATTAGAGAAATGCAAATCAAAACAATGAGGCG